GCCTGTGGTCCCAGCTACTTGGGAGGCGGAGGCAGGAGACTTGCTTGAGCCCAGGAGTTGGAGGTTGCTGTGAGCTGTGATGCCACAGCACTATACCCAGGGGGACAGCTTGAGGCTCTGTCTCAAAAAAAAAAAAAAATTGTTCAAACAGTTACTGTGAAAGAGAAGTATTAAATTCTTTCACATATAATAGTGGATTTGTATATTTCTCTATCAGTACGATAGGTTGTTGCTTTTTAAAATCTCTTTTTTAAAACTAGTTTTTAAGTTGCTTTTTACTGGTTTTGAAATAAAATTAAAACCAGGCCAGCCACGATGGCTCACATCTATAATCCTAGCACTTTCTGAGGCTGAGGTCAGGGGTTAGCATGAGTCCAGGAGCTGGAGCACAGTCTGGGCAACAGCAAGACTGTTTCTCTACAAAAAACTTCAAAAATTAGCCAGAAGAGGCGACACACCCCGGTGGTCCTATCTGCTTGGAGACTGAGGAGGAGAATCAGTTGAGCCCAGGAATTTGAGGCTGCTGTATGAGGTATGATCTTGCCACTGCGTTTCAGCCTTGGTGACAGAGCCTTGTCTCTTAACAAAAAAATAAATAAAACCAATCTGAAATAATTTTAATGAGTAGAGTTGAATTGAGCCTTCAAACTTGTTCATGAGTCGTGATCATTATTCGTTACTATATTAAAAACTGTTTCAGAAAGGAAATTTGTAGCCAGTTCCAGTTTTATTGTAGTTTGTAAATAAGTTAAATTTATCACAAGTGAATCATAGATTTTTAATGTTATGATTGCTTTTGCATAAAATTTTACTATCAAATTTAAAAGGTGGGAGAGAAAAATTTGATTATTTTGAAATTATAAAGTTGTCATTTGTTTAACCTTTGAGAATATTTGCAGTGTATTAAAATTCTATTAAAAATTATTTTAACTGCTCTTGTAACTCCTTCCATAACTCATCTTCTTTATTAAAAGCAGACGCTCGCATATGGGGACATGAACCACGAGTGGATTGGCAACGAGTGGCTGCCCAGCCTGGGCCTTCCTCAGTACCGCAGCTATTTCATGGAGTGCCTTGTTGATGCTCGGATGCTGGACCACTTGACAAAGAAGGACCTTCGAGGGCAACTGAAGATGGTTGATAGTTTTCACAGGTAACTTTGTGCAAATAGTTCTTAATACCTGACTGAAATTTTTCACTGTTGCCAACTCTAAATCTCTCTTTTTTTTTGTGAATAGAAACAGTTTCCAGTGTGGAATTATGTGCCTGCGAAGGTTAAATTATGACCGAAAAGAACTGGAAAGAAAAAGAGAAGAAAGTCAGAATGAAATAAAAGGCTAGTACACTGTATTTAATTGTTTTAGCATTCTCCTGCTTGCTGGTGTATTAGAAGTCTCAGTGATTTCCTATTTTTTAAAAATCAGGAAAGGCATTATGTGGAGCAAACTAGTCAGGCGTCATTGCAGAGGAAGGAAGGATGAAACAGTGCTTTTGAGACCCTCTCTGTAGCCAGAGGATTTATGCCTATTTTCTTACGCTCACATCAGTCTGCAGGCTGAAGGACTCATTGTGAGCATTTTTCCTATGACTTTAGAGTTTTCCTGTTGTTGGGACATAAGTACTCTCACTCACAGATGCTATTCCCCAGTCAGATAACAGCAAAGCAAAGATGTGTGTGCTCAGTCGATTTTAGTGTGAAAAACACAGTTCTGGATGTTCATCCAGGGACTTGTGAAGCACAAAAGAGTACCCAGTGGGCCGTGTGGTTGTGCTTCCAGCAGGGAGGGAAGGAAGCATAGAGTTTAAATGGTAGCTGGTCCTTGAAAGGAATAGGTGCTTCTTGGGGATGAGGTGGGGTAAGGAAAAGGCATTTCGGTTAGAAAACAGAGGCCAGGGAGTAGAGGATATGGGACATTGACCCTGAAGACACGGTCTTCTCTTTTTTCTTGGTGAGCCTCAGACTCTGTGCCTCTCTGAATGACCAAGGACAGTAATTTGCTTTTAAAGTAAGACACTAGGCTCGGCGCCTGTAGCACAGTGGTTACTTTGCTAGCCACATACACCAAGGCGGGCAAATTCTAATCCAGCCCAGGCCAGCTAAATAACAACGACAGCTGCAACAAAAAAATAGGCAGGCATTGTGGCAGGCACCTATAGTCCCAGCTACTTGGGAGGCTGAGGCAAGAAAATTGCTTAAGCCCAAGAGTTTGAGGTTGCTGTGAGTTGTGATGCCATGGCACTCTACCAAGGGTGACATAGCAAGACTCTGTCTCAAAAAATAAATAAATAAATAAATAGAAAATAATGTAAGACACTAAGCACTCTAAACACTTAAAATCCAGTCTCCCATAATTTTTGGAATTCAAGGAAATCAATAACAATTATAAGAAGAAGCAAGGCTTATTGAAGAGTAGGTGATGGGAAGTGTTCCAAGCACTTCTGTATGTCAATTTATTTAATTTTTACCACAGCCCTGTAAGTGCTATTTTCATCCCTAGTTTTTATTAAAAGACAAACTAAAGAGGGCCAAACATGGTGGCTCACACCTTTAATCCCAGCATTTTGGGAGGCCAAGCAGGAGCATCTCTTAGCCCAGGAGTTCAAGACTGGTCAAGGTGGTATAGTAAGACCTCATCTCTATAAAAAAATTTTTCAATTAGCCTGGTTTGGTGGCATGTACCTGTAGTCCCAGCTACTCAGGAGACTGAGACAGGAGGATCACTTGAACCAGGAGTTTGATGTTGCTATAAACTATGACCTTGCCACAGCACTCCCGGCTGGGCAACAGACCCAGACCCTGTCTCTTGAAAAAAAAGAAAGATGAAAATGTGGTTGGGAGACAGCCTATTTGAAGAGTAGTTTACTTATGATTGAGTTAATGGTGAATCACGAGAAACAGCTGAGTCAAACGTTTATACAATCTATGTGAAAGTGTGGACTTCTACCCAGAGACGGGCATTGGAAATGAAGTATGTCAGTGCTTCATTTGTTTTCTGTATCATTTTGCATCTTTTTGCAGTTAACAGGAAAGAACCATCTTTGGCAATGATGAGTGATCATCTAAATGTATTTTCACAAAGTGGCTATTTTTAGATCTGATAGAGCAAGATTAATAATTTCTTAATTTGCATAAGATAACATCTTTCCCCAAAGTTTCTGATACGCTAGGGAATATCTGAAGGCCTCTCTCTTTTTAAAATGGCACAATATGAACAAAGCCTGGAAGATTAGAAATGAATGGTATACGCTAACCTCGACAGGATGCATAGACTGTTACGGTGCCAGCTCCTATGATGGGAAGATGCGTTTCCAAAGACTCCCATCTATAAAATGTCCCCGTTCATTTAGTATTCAGGTTCTTACAACTCTTCTGATTTCTGATCCCTGGATCCTCCTCATTTTCTGTTCTGTAGAAATACAGTGTACATCATAACTTCATTCCTTTGGTGTTCACTGGAAGACTGAGTTGTAAAATGGGACCGTTTCCATTAGCTTGGAGCAGGGCCAGGGCACCAGTGTCTAGTGCAGCTAGTGGTTGTCCATATGGCAGTTCCTCCCAGCACTTGTGGGGATCATGTCCTTTATCAGGAGCCAAAGGATTAGGAACAACGGCAGGGATCTTTCTTCTGCATGATAGGGTAGACATGATAAAGATGGCTTTCTGAAGCCACTTTTATAATTGTCTTGATTCTTTTTCAGACGTGCTTGTTTGGAGCAATGATCGAGTGATTCGCTGGATCCTGTCTGTCGGTCTTAAAGAATATGCAAACAATCTCCTGGAGAGCGGCGTTCACGGTGCACTTTTGGCCTTAGATGAAACTTTTGATTTTAGTGCACTAGCGCTGCTGTTACAGATCCCGACGCAGAACACACAGGTGATACTGCACTCAGTCACGTGTGCAGCTGGTTTTCTGATTGTAGACATTTAATTCTTTATTTCAATGGAGAGAAAGCCAAAAAACCTCAGACAACTAGTAATACAATGGTTCAAAATCCCGAAGAAAGGAGAAAACAGTGTTAAATTTGTAATACTTAAGTCATGTTTGACTTCTGTAATTACAAGAGGTGCTCAGCATGACTTGTATGTTTCTTACTTGCATATAGAGGGTTGAACATCATACTTACTACAACAGCCACCAGTATCATAACTTATCTGAGGAATTACTGAGAGCAAGAGATTTCCAGGCTTGCCAGGAGCATGCCTCAGTAATTCATGATACTTACTACAGCAGCCACCAATGTCACTGTGACTTGGAAGGCAAGCCATCAAGTAACTCAGTAATCCTGGAGAGGCAAAATTCAGTCCTATAGTAGTAAGGCTGATGTTAAACATTAAGCTTTTATGGCAGTTCCTTGAAGGATTAGTGGAGAAAAATTGCATGTAGTATTTTGGAGATCATTTCCTTGAGTACATACTCTGTTGGCACCTATGAGATCATTTCCCTGAGCACACAGCCCCTGCATGGCTTTGCTTAGTAATCTTTCCACCCATTGTGTACCTTCCCAATAAAAGGACTCCGTGAGAAGTGCTCGGGGCTATCCTGCACCTGTGGGTGGCCTCACCTCTGCAGCGTGTACTGTCAATCTGTGCCTTGTGAGATCATTTATGTGGTTGAGACACTAGTATATATCAAGTATTACAATTTTAATAAGTTCTTTCCTTTCTTAAAATGTATGTACATTTTTTTGGCATCCTCTGTGTTTAGTTCTTAGGGAAAGAATTATTAAGGTACACTATTATCCTTCACGTTAAGATTGATGGACATTCTGATGTTCTTTTGTTATTTTAGGCTCGTGCTGTCTTGGAAAGAGAGTTTAATAACCTTTTGGTCATGGGGACTGACAGAAGGTTTGATGAAGTAAGTTTTTGACCTAATATTCTTTACATTCGTGTTCATTATAAGATGTTTTATTACACCTGGAACTACCATGTACCTGGGCAGTCTTCTAAATGTGGAGTAATTTTTAGCTTTGCTCTTACTGAGTTATTAGCAAATCATCGAGCAAGAAAGTATTTCCAGGCTATGTCGAGGCACTGTTACTGCAGCACCGTGGGGGGATCACTTGACCCTAGGAGTTCAAGGCCACAGTGAGCTGCAATTATGCCACTGCACTCCAGCCTGGGACAGAACGAGACCCTGTCTCTGGTGGGGGTCAGACCAGGTGGTGGGACTAATACCTTAAATAAGACATTTGTTTCTGATTTTGTGATTTAATTTTTCATACTCCTCAATACATTGGTTGCAGCCTAGACATGAAGTCTGTAGTGGTGTTTTGGGTACCACTAGATATCCTGCCCCAATCCAGAACCTTTTTGCTTTGATGGCAGCATGTTTTAGAAGTCCTAAAAAACATCAATGTTGGCTGGGCATGGTGACTCAAACCTGTAGTTGTAGTACTTGGTAAGCTGAGGCAGGAGTTTCAAGAGCAACCTCGGCAACAGTGGAACCACAAAAAAATAGAAAAAGTGTCTATAAAAAAATAGAAAAATTATCTGCGCATGGAGGTGGGTGCCTATAGTCCTAGCTACTGAGGAGGCTGAAGCAAGAGGGTCAGTTGAACCCAAGAGTTTGGGGTTGCTGTGAGCTATGATGATGCCACTAGGCTTGGCAACAGAGTCTCCAAAAAAAAAAAAAAAAGACACAAAATGTTAATTTCCCCTTATACAAAACCATGACTGATTATGTCCACACTGTTATTATCGTCTTCACTGGACATCAAGAAAACTTGAGTTTGGCAAAGAGTAGAAGGCCCCTCTAAAGGTGAAGCCCTTTTTGGTGGTATCCTGGCATAGAACAGAAGTGTTTACAGATTCAGAACTACTTTTTAAGATGAATACAAATGTATTACATAGCAAGGAAGTGATTCCTGCGAGATAGAAAGTGAAATGTGATAACAGACAGAAGGAACCACACCCCTTGGTGGTCTAGGATGTCCACATGTATGCCTCAGGAGTCCAGGAGGAGTATCACCACACCTTCCTTCAGGCTGAAGTTCCAATTTGGGCAGTTAATTGTATGGTCATTAAGAAGGGTTTAAAGACGTGATCAAGAATACATTCATGAGTTCAGCAGACATTTTAAAGAACAGTTAACTTTAGATCTCTGTCCTTTATTTTTATTTTTGCAAAGAGGCAGGGTCTTACTACATTGCCCAGGGTGGACTCACACTCCTGGGATCAAGCAGTCCGGCCACCTCAGCTTCCTAAGTAGCAGGGGCTACAGGTATGCACCATTACCACTTGGCATTCATTTTTATTTAAATGAATCTTATTTTCTGTTCTTTACTTTACCCAGGATGATGATAAAAGCTTTAGGAGAGCACCTTCGTGGAGAAAAAAATTTAGACCAAAGGACATCCGTGGCTTAGCTGCTGGGTCAGCAGAGACTCTCCCTGCAAACTTCCGAGTGACTTCGTCTATGTCTTCACCCTCTATGCAGCCAAAGAAGATGCAGATGGACGGTAAGTGGTGAGCTGTGCTAACCGCCACTCTGGGTGAGCCTGGAATGTTAATAATTACCTAGAATGACCTATATAATGTGTTACAAGGCAAGTGAGTATGATTGCATGCCCAGATATAAATGTTTTACAATTAACTCTAACATTTGTTTATAAAAATTTAACAGTAATAATAGAATTTTTAAAAAATTATTGTCTGGTTAAGTCTTTGCGTATTCATATCCAACTAATACAGCTTAGTAGGTCTTCTGCATTCTAAGTGTACGCGGTTGGCATCCACCCCTGTAAACACTGTGCCTGACAGGTTGGGCTGGGACAGCTCTCTCACCAGATCCAATCCCAGGACTGCCCTCCACACTGAAAAATGACAGTACATTTTAAATACATGATTTCTAACTTACGTGAGCTCAGCTTTTCCTATCTTTCTTTCCACCCTGCTGTTATTTTTGTATGTAATTACACTTGTATTCCATTAAAGACAGGCTGGGGAAATAGATTTGCCTTGGGGAAGTCACCAGTGAAGTAGGACCAGCCCTTTGGAATATCCCATCAGGGCAGCAGCACAAGTGCTTTGGATTTCCCCTTTAACAGCCACTTTCTTTTTATTGAGACAAACTCTCATTCTGTCACCTAGGGTAGAGTGCTGTGTCTTCAGTGAATCTCCTGCCTCACCCTCCCAAGTAGCGGGAACTACAGGTGCCCACCACAACACCTGGCTAATTTATCTATTTTTAGTAGACACGAGGTCTCAGCTTTTGCTTGGGCTGATCTTGAACTCCTGAGTCAAAGGGATCCTCTCCCTTCACCCTCTCAGAGTGCCTGGATTACAGGTGTGAGCCACTGTGCCCAGCCTGCTGTTTTCTTTTTTTAAAGATAAGCGTCTGGCTCTGTTAGATGGCCTAGGGTGCCGTGGTGTCATCATAGCTCACTGCAACCTCAAACTCCTGCCTCACTTCCCAAGTAGTTGGGAGTACAGGTGTGCATCACCATGCCCAACTGATTTTTCTATTTTTTGTAGAGATGGGGGTCTTGCTCTTGCTCAGGCTGATAGCCACTTTGATTTGAGAATGCAGCTGGTTAAGAGCTGACCATGGTTTCCAGATGGCTCTCAGCTCTGACCTTGAACTTACGTGATGAAAGGCAGTGCACAGCCTGTTTCCCCCTCTGTAAAATGGTTATCACAATCATATTTTCTTCATAAAGCAGGAAGAATTGTGGGTGCTGCCTCAGCATTGGCTGTCTGGGCATTTTGGCAGCTCCCATGTTACTGCATGCAGACTGTTGATTCTCATTTGTGATGCAGATGGGGAGGGTAGAATGGAAGCAAGTTTAAGGACTGCATTGATGGGAGTTTTGCACTTTGTTTCCATAGTAGGCTTGCTTTCTCTCGCATATATAAAAATCAAGAGAAAAGTACATTTATATAAAACCTTAATTAAGCTAGACACTTGGTGAGAATGGATTACATGGTGGCATTTTCAATGAAAAGCTGTATTTTTTAAACTAGAGTCTAGTAATGTACTTAAGAGGTGAATTTAGAATGTCTTTTTTTTTTTTTTTTTTTTTTTTTTGAGACAGAGCCTCAAGCTGTCCCACTGGGTAGAGTGTCGTGGCATCACAGCTCACAGCAACCTCCAACTCCTGGGCTCAAGCGAGTCTCCTGTCTCCACCTCCCAAGTAGCTGGGGCCACAGGGACCTGCCACAACGCCCGGCTATTTTTTGGTTGCAGCCATCATTGCTGTTTTGGCGGGCCCAGGTTGGATTTGAATCCACCACCTTAGGTATATGTGGCTGGTGCCTTAGCCGCTTGAGCCACAGGTGCCGAGCCTAGAATGTCTTTTAATAAATAGTAACTTTCGAAAAATAAGCATTTTTCTTCTGAGGAACATGCAGATAATTCTTAGGAATTTTAACTATAACTTGGCTTTCAACTTAATCTCTACCCTGGTTCATTGGGCAGTCCAGATGAGTGCTTTCTTGGTTTTTTTGTAGCTTCAATTTCAGTTTTCATCATTATAAGTTACATTTCCCCTGTTAAATATTAACAGCAATTTTAAGATAGTTCACATAGATTAAAAACAAACCTAGGAAAAAAGTATATGGAATATATTATACACAAGACTTTTTATAAGGCATAAACCATGTAAAATAGTTATTGGCTTTTTAAATAAGAGAATGCAAGATAAATTCTAGCAGATGCCCTGGGTGTTGGAAGGGCCTGTAAAGATTACTCATTCATGGCTCGGTGCCTGTGGCTCAGGTGGCCAAGGTGTCAGCCACATACACCTAAGGTGGCAGGTTCGAATCCAGCCTGGGCCTGCCAAACAACAATGATGGCTGCAACCAAAAAATAGCCAGGCGTTGTAGCAGGCACCTGTGGTCCCAGTTACTTGGGAGGCTGAGGCAGGAGACTCGCTTGAGCCCAGGAGTTGGAGGTTGCTGTGAGCTGTGATGCCACAACACTCTACCCAGTGGGACAGCTTGAGGCTCTGTCTGAAAAAAAAAAAAAGATTACCCAGGTGCCTTTTGTGTTTTCTGGAACCATGGCAAGATATTGATAAAACTGTATTCCTGGTGTCGTGTGTACAAAAACCTCCTAACCGGGAGCAGCAAACGTCTGCTGTAGATGTATGAAAGTTCCCACCCACTTTGTGAGTGGAAATCAGGTTTCCCTGTGCATTGCAGTGTTTCTTGAACAGGAAGCACAGTGTCCTTAGTCTCCATTGTTTCTGATAGAAATCGAGGGCTTCGGTTTTCCTATATCAGCTGTCCTCACCCCACTGCCCTCCAGGCCCCAGCCCTACAGCCAGCCTTTCCATCCACCTCTGCCCTGGGCACCATTCAGTCTCTTCCCTCGGTCCATGCTTGGACACACAATCCTTGAAGCCCAGCTGGTCCGTGGACATAGAGTTTAAGGAGAAACAAAGTGATTGCTAAGTCACTGTCACTGATGCAGATAGATATTTTGACATTTTTATACCATTTGGTGCTCCATTGCTATTTCAGAATTATCTTCCAGTGACTCCCCTTGGGAGTTGGGGGCAGATACCACTGGTAACACTTCGGTTCTCTTTCTCTGGCTTCGTCCTGCCCCCTCTAGCAGCCTCCCCTCAGGTCCCTCAGTAGGTGCTACTGTAGGTGTGAGATGTGTGTCTGTTCTTGTGACGCTGTGAGACTAACTGCACGCTGTGTTTGCACGCCTCCTCTCGTGGCTGTCAAAACAGGCAATGTGTCAGGAACACAGAGGTTGGATTCTGCTACAGTCAGGACTTACTCCTGCTGAAGCCTCCTGTTGGTGAGTAGAGTGTTAATTCGTGGAGATTGTTCAGAGGTACAGGTGACAGTAAGCACAAAGCTGTAATGTCAAACTGAACTTTAGTTAATTTGAGAATTTTAAAACTATAGACGCATATGCTCTCTGCACCTGTTAAAATGATTTGGGTGCTACAATTGTTCATTAAGAGGTTGGTGTGTCCTTGTTTTTAAGGAAAAAAAAGTATTTTTATATTTTCTTTTTCCTTAAACCTGAAAATGCTGGCCCATTTTAAGCGCCATGAGGGGGTGGGCAAGAGAGCAGAACACGTGATAGACAGAGCACAGCTTAGCTCTTAGCTGACTGCCCAGGGGTTGGGAGCGCAGGGGCCAGTCGAGGTGGCTCAGGAAGGCCGAGATGGGGGATGGCTTGAGCTCACAAGTTCAAGACCAGCCTGAGCAAGAGCAAGACCCTTCTCTACTAAAAATAGAAAAACCAGCCAGGCATATGGCAGGCGCCTGTCATCCCAGCTGCTTGGGAAGCTGAGACAAGAGGATCACTTGAACCCAAGTTTGAGGTTGCAGTGAGCTCTGACACCCCAGTACTCTACCCAGGGTGACAGAAGGAGACTCTGTCTCAAAATCCATGGGGGACATCTGTGCCACTTCGACATTGTTGTGTATGGTCATACAGTTCCTCACTTACATTGTTATAAATATATGTTCTTGAATGAAACAAGCCCTAGAGTTTTGTGGTTAATCATGCATTGAGTTTCATAAGGCTGTATGATCCTGTGACATTTAACAGCCTTTCCATTTGGAGAGTTTTTTTTTGTTGTTGTTGTTTTGAAGACAGTGTCTCTGTCACTCAGGCTAGAGTGTAGTGGTGCCATCATAGCTCATAGCTATGAATTCTTGGGTTCAAGTGATCCTCCTGCCTCAGCCTCCCAAGTAGCTTAAACTAAAGATACCTACCACCAGTCCTGGCTTTTTAAAAAATTATTTGTTGTCCACAGTGTATCTTGATACATTGCCCAGGCTGCTCTTGAATTCCTGGCCTCAAGCAGTCCTCCTATCTCTGCTCCCAAAGTGCTGGGGTTACAGGTGTGAGCCAGGGTGCCTGTCTGGAGAGATTGGTTCCTGGGTGGCCATCACAGGCTCTAGGTCAGCAGTTCTCAACCTGTGGGTTGTAAAGGGTTGCGGCATTAGGAAGGTTGAAAACCACTGCTCTAGGTGCGGAGAGCATGCCCGGTCTCTGCCCTGCTTCTTTGGAGCCTCTGTTCACCCTGCAGGGGCCTGGCCATCCTTGCCCTCCTCTCTCACTGCTCTGACCCCTGTGGTGGACTCTGTCTACTCTGCTGGGTTTTAGGGCTGTACAGTCCTCATGCTCCGTCCAGTGATCCTCAGAGCAACCAAAGTGCAGACTATAGGGGTGCGGGGCTGGGCCCATGTGGGTGGATGCTCCGCCCAGCACCTGAGGGTCTGGTTCTTCCCCTCTGGCTTGTATTAAGAGTGGCTTTTTGTTTTATTTTCCAGTTTACCCACACTACTTCTACAGATGATTATGCAGCATTCAAATCCAACAAAGACTACATTTTAGAATTCAGTGGAATCCTTAATCTGTTAATAATTGTTATATGGACCTTGAGATATTTTATTACAGAGTTTTTAATTAGTGAAAAATTCATGAATACCATAGAGAAAATATTTTAGAATTTAATGTTTCTTATATTTATGTAAACTTATGAATCTTCATTTATATAGCTACTTACTTTTTCATGTATATCCAGGCTATAAATATCCTTTCAAATCAATTCATGTTCTTATATCTAATTTTAGTCTTTCAAATGAATGTACTGTAATGCTTGTATGTATAAATGCTATGAATAAATATAGGGCTTTTGTAAATTATGCATTTATTGTAATTATCATTGTTTAATTTTTTAATGATAAACCATGACAAAAGATTTTACTATGTTTATAAAATTATCATGACACAATGTGCATTATCTTTTACAAATGCAGCCTAGCTCTACAACAATCATTTTGAAATAAGCATACTTAATTTTAAGCAATTACTGTTGTATTTTAATAACTGACCTTAACTATACATTTTCTAGCAAGAAATACTTTTTTTCTGCAGTGTGAACAGATTTAAAATATCTGGTATTAAATATCAGTTTCTAATAACATTTGGACTGAAAGGATGATGAGAACACTATGAAATGTTAGCACTGGTTAACTCTCTCCTGGCCTCGGCTCTGGACTTGGGTAGCTTGTCTTCAGTGACTGCCAGAAGCTGGGAGCTGGGAGCAGTTTTCTCAGTGGGAAGAAAAGGACTCCGGCTCAGGTAACCTGGGGAGCAGCCCCAGCTGTTGGAACCTTCTTCCTGGCTCTGCGCCTTGTACGCAGGGTGGAAAGGTGCCTGTACTACTCTTCGAGGACCAATCACCAGCACTGTGCTCTCAACTCACAGGCATTGGTGCACAGAGCAGATGGAGGCAGGAGATCCTGAAAACAGTGTGTGCAACTCTAATAAAGGCCTTATTTTTCTTACGTAAATCATCTTTTTACATTTGTTTGTAAACATGTTTAAAGAATGGACCTAGTCGTACATTTTTAGATTTTGATGATAGCCATTTTGGATTGTATAAGTAGCAAATGTAACTTTTTAAGTGGCATATTAAAAAGCCAGCAAGAAATGGGTCAGATCATGGTGCGTTATTTATTATGCAGCTGGTACAGAGACATCCGTCTTTTTACATTTTGTCTCTGCTTTTAATTGTACAATTCATTGTTACTGTTCTGTTTTTCTATTAATCTTTTGTGAACTTTCTGATTATGTAACAAAGTATGTACAGTCTACTTTTGAACTATTTTTACCACAGTATTATTTATTACTTTCTTCAATAAAGTACTGAAGTGTCTCCTACTGCCAGTAAAGAATATTGAGAATAAGCTGGGCTCATACTGACAGCCGGCTGTAGCTGCCCTATCTCATGTTCTCTCTAGGCTGATTCACTGAAGTCACCATATGGGAATCATATTCTAGAAATCCATCAATAGGTTAAAGAGGCTGGAAGATGAAGTGCATGTTCAGGGTGTCGTCCAAGGGAGACCAGATGGGTCCTGCCTGCTGCTCTGGATCCCCAAGCCCGCATCTCATCCGTACGTGCAGGGAGCACTGGAGATGGGTGGGTGGTCTCACCCAGAAAGGGAGTGTGTGGGCCATGTGCAGTCCTGGGTGGGGTTGGCCTGAAGCAGCCCTTGAGGTAGGTCTCTGATGAGCTGAGGGGGTGGCCTCTGCAGTGGCACCATCGTAGCTGACTGTGATGTTGAATTCCCTGCTCCATGGATCCTCCCACATAGCTGGGACTACACACATGCCACCACACCTGGCTGATTTTACTTTTTGTATAGACAGGGTCTTGTTATGTTCCCTAGGCTGGTCTCAAACTTTTGACCTCGTGTGACCCACCTGCCCCAGCCTTCCCTGGGATTACAGGTATGAGCCAATGTGCCTGGCCCATAGACATCTTTTGAGGGCCATAACTGAACCCACTACCTTCTTCGTGTTTCTCTGAAGGAGGGGACCCAGCCTGTCCAGGAGATAGATGAATGGGTAAAGCAGATCACTGTCCCAAAGGCACCCACCAATTGTGGGAACAGACTCCTAAGATTGCACAAAGGGCAACATGAGTAGAGGCAGGAGCTGTCAACAGCCTGGCGGTGACCCCCAGGGAGCAAGGCTCTGTGCTTGGGTGTGAGAGGAAGAAGGAATGTTCCATTCAAAGTGACATCATGGGGTGGGGCAGAGGAACAAAGAAGAAAGAACAGGGACATTTCGACACTTGGTTCTGGAGCGGGTCCTCTCAAACTTGAGTGTGTATCACTTAGCAGGGAGACAGGGCGGGACTTGCTCTATTAAAGCAACTCAGCATCACTTACGGGAGACTTGCTTGGCACTGTTTGAGGCTAGAGAGACCACGATAAGAAGTACTTCAGCCTTCTGGTAACAAGGGAACATTTCTAATCCTGTGCATATAGGGTGCAGCCTGGGAGTTTGGACTGTGCTCTGGCGTGGGAGGAGAGGGGCTTTGGGGAGACAGCATCCCCAGACATCAAGCCCTGACAGTCTCCTCATGTTCACTCAGCATACTTACTGTCTGCTGTGAGTGATGCACACATACTCTTCCCAGACGGGGTTTCTCAAGGAGTATCAACACCATAGACCCGAACTGGACAGCAGCTACCTCTTCCCACGTGTGCTCTCCTGCAGCCATCCTTGTGGCGTGACTTTCTGAATAGGTTAATTGGTCTTGCCAATCACCTTCAGAGGAAGCAGACAATACCATTCTTCACTCTTCACAAGGATAGGTGACACCTACGCTATCTCACACTGCAAGTTCTTTAAGTAGACTCAAATGCACTCATAAAATAAAAGCAATGTAACTTAGGAACAGCAGTATTATAAACCTATAGTGCTGAAAAGATTTTACTCATCAATTCTCCAGCACCCTATTTAATTTTCAGTTTTAACCAAAGCCCATGCCCATCATTTAAAGTAAAAACAAAACAAAACACCAGCATTCCCTGTTCTTCCCCTCCCGTTTTGGCTATTTCTCCTATTTGCTTTCTTCCTGTAGGAGGAAAATCAAAATCTCAGGGCCCCCAACTCCCATCTCCTTATGCAAAAGGGAAGGTAAAGGCCTCAGGCACCTGTGATGCAGCAGCCCACAGATCGTTCATTAAGGAAATTCCTCTTGACCTCGTAGTAAGCAAGGACATGCAAACTGATGTCTGGCACTTAACACCGAAGCCTGTTGGATTCCACACTAGTAATGAATCACAAGTTTATGTTTACATGAATAGGACAGGGTCAGACATCCTTTCACCTGCCCAGGACCTCAATGTAGGTGAGGCCTTCACTCACTAGTTCTCTTCAGACAGACCCTTAAGTAAATTATAGATACCAGGTGTCACAAGAATGTCACCATTTGGTCCATGCCATACTGTTGCAGGAAGACGAGGCCCAACGGAGAGAAAGAGCACCCAAACACTATGTTTATAAGTAGAAGGGCTTTATTCACCGGCAGGGAGCTTACAGCATAGAATTCCAAATAACAATGCTCCCCGACTGGCTTGGTCTTTCCCTTTTTATCTCCAGTCAAAAAGTTCCACCCCATAGGTACCTTTTTCACTGGCCAGTGTGAACCAAGCAGGAGATGCTGTTCCAGCCCCCACAGAACTATAGGATTTCACAGAAGTGGAAATTTCCAAGTTCCAGGAAGTTAAATCCACAAATTCCCAAGAGCTGAGTCACCATAGAGAGCACCCTGCAGGTGTATCCTTGTGGTCTCCTTGAGAAGACCTGTTCTGGACTTCACCCTTCTGGGGTATCTCCTCTAAATACCCTCCTAAATGGTCTTGTCTGATGTCCTGAAATGAAGCAGGGTCAGGCCTGGTTACTATTTGGAAGGGAGAATTGACCAGGAATACAGGGTGCTGAAAGCTTTTTAAAAATACTAAGAAAAGAAAGCATAACAATTTGCCTCACCAGTGGGCCCCATGCCTTTTCCTTCTCTGTCTGTGGCTTTAAAGGTGATGCTTCCAAATTCTCCCTCAGGAAAATAGGCACAGTTCTGTGGTTCTTATTTTTTCCTGGACCCATCCTCAATTTTGGCTTATCAACCTTCCATTGATTGAGGGCTTTGCCTTCATCACTTGCTTGTTTGGATACCCCTAGCATGTGCTCAGTGGTCTCCTGACCCAGCCGTTCGGTTCAGGCCCTGTCTACTGGCTTTTCTTTGTGTCTATCAAGAATGTGTGTGTGTGTGTGTGTGTGTGTGTGTTTGAGATGAGGACTTGTTATCAAACGGCAAGGTAGTTTCAGCCTACATCTGGTTGCTCACCTCACAAAAATCCAGTTATTGAGACAAGGAGAACTGCGAAGTAAGAAAGGAATTTTAATGGGAGTGACGTCTGGCAGGAGAAATAGTCCCAAACCCATGTCTGACCAACACAGATCCTGGGCTTTTTAAGAAGGGGCCACATGCACTGGGGCAAGTCACAGTGTGGGATAGGAATTCCCATAACCCTGACAAGAGTGCAGCCATTTTAGAAAACCAGTAACCCCTGCCCCAGACTCCTGGAGTGCCTCAAGGCCAGAATTCCTGGAATCACCCTACCTCTAATCCTGACTGCCCTAGAGAAGAGTCCTGGGTGGTACTCAGGGCCCACAGCCCCATTCCAGCTATACTGATGAGACTTATAATAAAAGCCTTTTGCAACTGTGTGGGAGCTGAGCTGACCCTTGGTCGGTCTGCTTTCTGCTTTTCCCATGTCCTTCCTTATTCCTAGACTGGCCTCTTCTCCTTTCTTGTGCACCTTCACCCAGTTCTCTGCCAGAACCTGTTATATAGGATGTGGTGATTCTTGGAACCAGGAATCTTGCTCAGGAGGTTTTAGAATCTCAACTCCATTGTCTTATAAAAATTCATTTCCGGGAAACAAGTAATTAGCAAAGGGAGGAGATTATTAAAAAGTATGGAGGTCACTGCAATTTGTTCATAGAGCTGATTAGTGTCACTGTTGCCCAGAATGGAGTGATCAGACCTCACTGCATCCATGAACCTGTGCGCTCAAGCCATCCTCCTGCATCAGCCTGGGAGTTGCTGGACTGCTGGAGCACACCACCATATGCTGCCAGCTGATAAGAATTTTAGCACCTGGCACCTCCCTATCCCTTTCCCAATCTGAACAGAGGTAAGCCAAAGTTATTAGTGTAAACTAAAATAAAATCTTAGGCTCCTTAGTTGATTGAATGGACACCCTCTTGGTCAAGGGGACCAAAGAAAACTTTTAAAGCTGAGTTGCTGGTCAAGATAGGTCAGATATATCTCCCTTTTGGAGTTATTTTCTGTACAACAAACAGTAAGATACTAAATCATTAGCAGGCTTCAGGTCATGTAAGACAGAGGCCCTGCAGGCCCCAGGTTTACTGGACCCAACACTTGAGTGTTGGCTGTTTTTGAGTAGCCCATCTCATAGATCCCTAGAGGTATAAGTTAACCTCTAGAAAACAGGGCCTGGTCTATAGAAATGCAAATTAGTTGTGTGCAGGGTAATGTCCAGGGATAGACTAGTTTGCAAATTCATTTTAGTATTCCTTTGGTATCTTTGGACCATTAACAGCGTGCTGGTTAATTCCTTAATAGGATCTTCAACCTGTCTTACACCTGTGTGCAAAGTAACGATTTTACCTTTAAAAAGAATTATCCTTGACACCCAACATTTCCTTCTCCCACCCCCAATCCACCTTCAAATCTGACCACTTTATGAAGGTCTCTGCTTTCTGCCCACGTCTCTCCAGCTTACCTGCCACCATCTGTTGGCCTAAATTGGCTGTATCAGGCTCCTATCTGGCCCTCTTCCCAACCATTCTCCGGACAGCAGCCAGAGTGATCTCCTTATCATTCAATCTTCATGATGTCTCTTATCTGCTAGACTTCCTCCAAGGACTTCTCCTTTCTTTTAGAATAAAGACAAGGTCGTGGCTGTGGTAGTTTGACCTCCACACAACCCAGCCCTAACTCACTTACCTCAAGCCTCGGAGAGCTTCCTTCGGGTCCTGCCCCAGGGCTTCTGCACACGCTGTTTTCCCTTGTTTGAGCAATTCTTCCCTTCCTATCTCGTTTACTCCTACACGGCCTTCACGTCAGGGTGAACTGCCCGAAGCATCCTCTGATGGGTTCAAGTCCTACCTCCTCTCAGGTATAATGTTATGGCGCCTTTGGCTTCGGCACAGCACTTACCTCCCGCTTCTCTAACTAGGTGGTTGAATGCTCGACCCACCTTCTCCTGGAAGAGCCCTCAGGACAAGCCCAGTGCGTCCTGCTGTCCCTCTCTCCGGACATTTTTGTGGCCTCCGACGGTGAACAAGTGATGAGATGGATGTGCCTGGGACGGCGGGCTGGAGGGTGGAAGGAGAGGATGAGCAAGCGGCCCGAGGGTCCCAGACGACCCGGCACAGCCACATCCTCAGGGCTGCAGGCGCGCGGCATCGTGCCCTGACGATCAGCATTTTCCCCGTGTCACCGGGCAGAGTCACCACCATCTGGTCCCACCGGTCCCGTCCGCACCTCCGCACATTCCCGCCGCGGGGCGGGGCCTCGCCCGATCCGGATGCGGCCCCGCCCCCGGCCCGCGGAACCGGAAGTGGGTCCTGGCGCCGGGCGACGCCGTGCGGCGTTGAGGGGCGCAGAGGCGGCGGGGCGACGCCGTGCGGCGGGGCGAGCGGGGTCGGGCGACGCCGTGCGGCGGTGAGCGAGCGCAGAGGCGCCGCGGGCGGGAGGCGCCGCCGGCCCGAGACGGGAAGGAAGCGGCGGCCGCCGCGGTCTCGCCGCTCTTCCGCTTGCGGTTTCGCGGAGAGCGCGGGCGACGCTTCCCCGGCCGGCCCGGGGCGCGAGCGAGGGCGGGGGTCGGAGGAGGTGGGGCCCGGCCCGAGGGGCGCGAGGCTCCGGGGACCGGGAGGAAGGCCCGAGCGGCCGGCAGGGGAGGGGTCCAGGCTGTGAAAGGGGATGCATCGGCCAGGAAGGTTCGAGGGGTCGGGGAGAAGCCCGACCAAGAAGGAGGCTGCGGTGCAAGGGGAAGGGGCGTAGACCTCAGGGGTTGGAGGGTTCGAGCCGGAGGGGACAGGCCTGAGGGTCCGGGGCCATCGGAGACAAGGATGGGGCCCGAGGGGCAGGGGCGCTGGGCCTCGGAATTGGGAGGTGGGAATGGAGGGACGGTGGGGGAGGGTACGAGGACTCCGAGGGCCTCGGCGAGGGACGGTGGGAGCAGCTGGGGGTCTGTCCCGCACCTAAGAGAGGGTTTTGCAATCAGCAATCAGGTCAGTGGAATTGCGGCGACACCGCAGCCGCAGCTCGTCGTGAGGCTCTAAATTTGGAACCGTCCTTCCTTCTCAGCGTTTGAAATCACTAGTAAGGTGCTTTGGGGTTTCTGGTTCCTACATTTCGATCGCCGGGCTACTCGAACGGAGGCCTGATGCCCGTGCTGGCGGGTCTCCTGTGAGAGTGGACGGGGCGTCCACCCACTGGAATCTGTAGACGTGTCGGGCCACTTGGGGAGGAATTCCATTTTTTGCTGAACACAGCTCTTGAGGCAGCGCAAGTGAGCGCTCCCTGCATGCGCCAGGCTGTGCCCACGCTGCTTTTGGGCTCCGATTTTCCTTGGCTGGACAGTGCTTTGTCAGGGGTCTTCACTCTCTGGGTCCTTACCCTGTGATTGAGACTTTGGCCCAGTGGAGCCTGGGATTGGGAGTGGCTGCCTGCCGCTGCCGCCCTTCCGTGTTTGACGGTGTGCGTGAGTCACTGGCTGTAGCGCATTGAGTCAATTCTCCCTCTCTTCTAGTTAAGGTGTATGTGCCAGATAGTAAGACCTAACAGAATAAAGAGCTGGAAAGGCAGAGCGGTTTTTGATTCTAGGTTCCTCAATATTGGAAGTCTACCTTCTGCTAAAGTTGACTTTAAAAAAATACATTTTTAGAAAGTGACAGGGTCTTGCTATGTTGCCCAGTCTGGAGTGCAACAGCTATTCACAGAGGGTGATCCTAGTTCCCTAGAGCCACAAACTCCAGGGCACAAGTAATCCACCTCAGCCTCCAGAGTAGCTGGGAGTACAGGCACTGCCACCTTGCTTGCTAAAGCTGGCTTTAATTGTAGCATTTTGATGGACTTGTCTTTAAAACACTTTTAACACATTTAAAATTGTTGTGAATGTAAAGTGATTCAGACCTTTGTTCCCTGCCACATGGTAGCTGCTTGAAAAATGTGTTGTTGAATGTGTAAGTCATTTGCACATGGGGGTCATAGTGTTACTGCCCTGGGCTGCAGTAAGTATATGCAACGTCCTGAGACAGCCGGGAGCAGGGGACTGCCTGTGTCCATCATTAAGCTTGTCTGTCACTGCTGTGCAAGCAAGCCCACTCCCCTCTGCTCAAGCACTGCTTCAAGTAAACTGTGAATAAAACTGCTCCGGGTGAGGATGGAGGGGTTTCCTTGGAGCAAGTTTGGTGTGGGGCCTAAGCTATCCATTTTGATTACTTAAAAGCCTTTTGGTTGTCTTTGGTTTCTGCTATTATGTAAAGGTGTTTCTTGTATGGTGGTTCTATCTCATCATTTTTAGAATATTTCTTCAATAGAGGAGTTTTTCACTCTTTTTTTGGAGACAGAGTCTCTGTTACCTGGTCTAGAGTGCTGTAGCATCATTGTTGCTCACAGCAACCTCAAACTTCTTGAGTTCAAATGATCCTCTGGCTCTGGCTCAGCTACTGGGGAGGATTGGGACTATAGGCAGCTACCACCACGCCTGGTTAATTTTTCTATTTTTAGTAAAGAGATGGGGTCTTGTTCTTGCTCAGGCTGGTCTTAAACTTCTGAGCTCAAGGGATCCTCCTGCCTTGGCCTTCCCAGAGTGCTAGGATTACAGGCATGAGCCACTGCGCCTAGCCCGGGCATTATCTTTTTTGAACAGTATTTTTTGTATCATCATCATTGAGATACAGTTCTCATACACATACAGTGTACCAGTTTAATGTGTACAGTTCAGGGGTTTTTAGTATGTTCACAGAGAGATCTGTAACCACCATAATTTCAGAATAATTTAATCACCTCAAAAAGAAACCCTATATACTTTAGCTGTCACCTCCAATTCTCCCCTGTTGCCAGCTCTGGGTGTCTCATATGTATGGCACTGTGTACTATGCAGTCCTAAATGACTGGCTTTTTTCATTTAGCGTAACGTGGTCAAGGTACTTCCACGCTAAGGCATGTGTTGGTGCTGGTTCCTTTCTGTGGCCAGTTAACCCTGCAGCTGTGTGGGTGGACCACGTGTTACATACCTCTGTCAGCTGCTGGACGCTTAGTTTTTCTCTGACCCCTGGCTATTATGGGCAGTGCTATTTTGAACGTTGATGTACAGGTTTTTGTGTGACTTATGTTTTCATTGCTCTTGGGCATGTACCTAGGAATGGGATTGTGGAGTTGTACTTGGGGAACTGCCAAACTGTTATTTTCTATCTTCATTTCCACCGGCAATGTGTGGAGGTCCCAGTTTCTCCACACCCTCACCCCTCTTGTCTTCATCTGATTTTAGCCAGTCTGGTGGGTGTGAAGTACTTTTTCATTGTGGTTTGATTTGCATTTCCTGGATGGTTAGTGATATTGAACGCCTTTTCATGAGCTTATTAGCCATTTTTATATCTTTGGAGAAATGTCTGCCCAGATCCTTCACCTGTTTTTAAATGGGATTGTCTCATACCGATACAATGTACCAATCTGTACAATTCAGGGGTTTTTAGTATGTTCCCAGACATGTGTAAACACCATAATTTCAGAATAATTTAAAAGATGAAACTCTATATTCTTTAGTCACCACCTCTAATTCTTGTTTAGTTGTAAGAATTCTTCCCATATTCTGGATATATGATTTGAAAATAGTTTTTTCCCATTCAGTGGATCATCTTTTCACCTTTTGGTGTTCTTTGAAACAAAGTTTTTGATTTTGTCCAATTTATCTTTTATTTTCCTCCTCTTGTTTTGTTTTTGGTATCATATCTAAGTAACTATTGTGAAAAGTCAAGAATATTGCATGCATTTAGGATTTTATTTTATTTTTGAGTTACTTTTTGTGTATGGTTTTGAGATCAGGGTCTAGGGCATTATCTTTGAACCTATAAATTACTTAACCTTATTTTTCAATTAGTTATTCGTGTGATTTTTAAAACATTTTAAATATTACAGGGATAATAATGTGTATTCGAGCCTCTCACTAACTGCCCTGAGTAGAGTTTTATAGCTGCTAGCTGATGACAGTAATGACCGCAGTATTCAGAGATTATAACGAGCCATCCACAGAAGTTTGGGTTTCCAGAAGAGACTGGGGCAGAAAAGGAATAAATAATTGGGTCAAGAACTAGAGCAGACTGGGAGAAGAGGCTTACACCTGTAGTCCCAGCACTTTGGGGAGCTGAGGCAGGATGATCTCTTGAGCTCAAGAGTTTGGGCTACAGTGAGCTGTGACTGTGTTGGTGCCGCTCCAGCCTGCTCAGCACAGAGAGACTTTACTCTTAATTAAAAAATAAAAGGACTAGGTAGGAAATGAATTATGTATGGAGAGGACCAGCCAGCCACTACAGTCCCTGTAGTTCCTAGTGCATGAAAAGCTGCATCCTGGTGCACGTGGCTCTGCCCGGGACTGGCTTGTTGCTCGGGGACAAGAGGATTGTACTCATCTGATAGGTGATGTCTAGTAGCGTAGTGTCCAGCTGAGGCTGATAAAGGGTCTTAGGGAAGAGGATGGGTCCCTGGACACCGTCTGGGGAATTAGAGTTTTTTCATCTGCCCAGTAACCCTATACATTCATTAGGAATGCACTGGTTCCTGCCCAGCGTCCTGCCCGGCTGGCTGCCTGTCTCCCAGGCTCCCTGGCTCCTGTTCCCCGGCCGAGGCACTGGCTTCCTCTGAGAGCCAGGCAGGATCCCGGCAGTGGCTATTCCTTCTCCCAGCCACATCATGGAGTGTTTTTCATATATATACAAAGGGTGCCAAAAAAGGTATATACATTCTAAGAAAGGAAAAACAGTATTTAAATTTTAATACTCAAGTCACATGCCACTTCTGCAGTTCCAGGAGATACAATATGCAAGCTAACCAATATTATCAGTATATACGAAATATTACAGTTTTAATTTGGTTTCTTCCTTTCTTAAAATGTGTATACATTTTTTGGCAACCTCTGTGTGTGTATATTTGTGTGTATATGTATTTATTTTAAACTTACAACAACAGAATTTTATTATTTTTAGTAACGTCCTAAGGGACAAAACCCAAAGGACGCATATCAGACGGGAAGCCTGTGCTGGGAAGCCTGTGCTGGCCGTTGGTTGCTGTTTGCATTAGGAAGAAGCAAGATGTAGTTCTAAACCTTTTAAAACTTACTTCTTTTGTTTCTTTATGTTGACCTTTTTGATTAGTAAAATGCAAATCTTTCTGTCCTACATTTCTTTACAAGATCTTGTTATGTTTGGTAGGATTTCCAAGGTATTTGAAAAAGATCTCCACATATAAGGATTTCCCAGAGAGCCTATCTGCAGTTGTCCTTCTGAGCTTTTTACCCTTAATCTTTTTGCAGACGGAATCGTTCCCAAATGCCTGGAAATTCCTCATTGGATTACTGTGTTTTAAGCAGAGTTTTGTGAATAGCTTTTTATCTTCAACCGGAAAGAAAGGTGCGTGTATTGTGAACATTGTAATATTCTTTCCCCATGATGGTAAGAGTAGCATCCCTTTAACAAGGAAAGGAGGGGATTGCTCTCACTGTGGGTTTGCAGGGAGAGACAATTTTCTGGAAGGAAATTTCATTGTTTAAAAAAGTCACGTTTCTCATGTTGCCGATGACATAGAGGAGGAAATTGCAGAGAACTCTGGGATGCAGGAACAGGAAGCGTTTCTGTCCTTACAGAAGGAGCGCTCAAGCCTCTTTCCCACACATTCCATTGAAAGTAGGCAGACCCACCAGGCATGTTGTGAATCATGCAGAACTGCCCACTGGCTAAGCTGAATTCCAGGAAGACCAGCGAAGATTATGCTTTGCTGATCTTTCTCTGATAAGTCTGAAAAAGTAAAAGGTAAAAATACCTGCTTTCACCTTTGACTTGGGAGCCCCTTGCAGAGACCCCCATCCTTGCCTATGACGATTCTCTCAGTGGTTGAAACTATAGGCAGCTGAAGTCCTGCCTGTGGGCAGGCCTGTCTTCAGGGCAGCAGGGTGCCATGGGGCGAACTTGAGACTGGGCAGACCCTTCAGCTTTCCTACAGCCATTTTTTTTCCATCTGTAAATGGGCAAAGGGAGATTAGACTGTCTGATTTTGCCTTTCAGTGCTGAGATTCTAGTTCATCTGCTCTCTACAATCTGGGCAAAGACAGATGGCTTCTGGGAAGTCCTTGCCGTGCTTTGGGGCATTTAGATGCGGTTCAGAGTGGCCCTCATGGAAGGTTATTGTTAGTGCTGCCTCGCCTGATGGGGCTGCATCTAGAAATTGGAGAGCCTCACTCCCTCCTTGGATTTGGACTTGACACCAGCTGGGCTGGAGGAAGTAAAGTGTTTCTTAAACCTGAAAGGTTATATTTTACCTTTTGCAGTTACAAAAATAGTTGTCTTATTAGTGTCTACAAATGTGCCATTGTTCTTATAATATGGTGGATAAAATTTTATAGGCTTATAGTGCTTATAGGCCTTACAGTGCTGAGGAAGAAAGGTGACTGGTCACTTTCAGAGCTGTCCAGTAGAGGAATAATTGACATCTTATATACCCAGCTTATTCCCAAATAGGTGGTAAGGCAGTCATCTAGCAAGTTACTTCAAACATTTATGAATTGTCAGTGTAAATTTAGAAAATCATTGTTATATTTTCATTAAGCACTTGAAATCAAAAAGGGTGTTTTTTCTTAAATACATGTATCATGAAATTAACCATTAGTCATCTTTAGTACATTTATAATGGGCAAACCAAAATAGTATGTGTTCTTTTCCTTTTCAGTTTTTTTTTGAGCAAACTAGGGGGTCTTACTCTGCCTGGTCTACAGTGCTGTGGCACAGTCATAGCTCACCGCAGCCTCAAATTCCTGATCCTTCCACCTAAGCCTCCTAAATACCTAGGGCACAGGCATGGCCACTGCCCTCAGCTAATTTCTAAATTTTTTTGTAGAGACAGGGTCTTGCTATATTGCCCAGGTTGGTCTCTACTTTTGCTTGGTAAATAACTGTTGTCATAGATTTAATGGAATAGGGATATGCTCTTTTTTTTCTTTTTGAGATAGGAGCCTCAAGCTGTCCCCCTAGAGTGCTGTGGCATCTCAACTCACAGTAACCTCCAACTCCTGGGCTCAAGCGAGTCTCCTGCCTCAGCCTCCCAAGTTGCTGGGACCACAGGCGCCCGCCACAACGCCCGGCTATTTTTTGGTTGCAGCCGTCATTGTTGTTTGGAGGCCCAGGCTGGATTCGAACCCGCCACCTTGGGTGTACGTGGCTGGAGCCTTAGCCACTTGAGCCACAGGCGCCCGCCACAACGCCCGGCTATTTTTTGGTTGCAGCCGTCATTGTTGTTTGGCAGGCCCAGGCTGGATTCGAACCCGCCACCTTGGGTGTACGTGGCTGGAGCCTTAGCCACTTGAGCCACAGGCGCCGAGTCAGGATATATTCTTAATGAGTAAAGTGTGTATACCCCTAACATTTTATTTTCCATAGAATTTTCTTACTTGAGTTGAAGCCCAAAGAGTATTTCCAGTTTTTTTCTGATGCCAGTGTTGACAGTAGCATTACAGCCCTCAGTACTAAGTGGTTTAACACCTGTAGTGGGTCATGAAGGATCATCTGGTCATGAAGCCCCTGCCCTGTCTGTGTTGTCTTAGAGTTTCTGTAGTTTTGTTCAAAAAGTATGGATGGGCTGAGCGTGGTGGCTCATACCTGTAACCATAGCACTCTGGGAGCCCAAGGTTGGTGAAGCCTTTGTACTCAGGAGTTCAAGACCAGCCTGAGCAAGGGTGAAAAAGTTAGCTGGGGTGGTGGGATGTGCTTATAAGCCCCAGCTACTTGCAAGGCTGAGGCAGGAGGATGGCTTTGAGGTTGAATAAGCTATGTCGATACCGCGGCACTCTAGTCCAAGCAACAGAGTAAGACTCTATCTCAGAAACAAAACAAAAAAACTACAGCTGGCTCCTCTGAGGTCTCTGTAACCCTCCTGGGGCTGCTTTTCCAGATGTGGAAAGCTTCGGCAGGCCATGTGGTGTCCATCACCCAGGATGACGGGGAAGCTGATGACTGGGAGACTGACCCGGATTTTGTGGTAGGAGCTACCAGTCTTTTGCTTATTGTTTTTCCTGAAGTGTCTTTCCTAGGTTTTGGTTTGACTGGGGAGTCATTTGTCTGTGTTACAGTCTGGGGTGTGGGCTTTACAAGGTCTTTTTCTTTTCAGAATGATGTGAGTGAGAAAGAACAAAGATGGGGCGCGAAAACTGTGCAAGGCTCCGGGCACCAGGAGCACATCAAGTAAGAGGCTTCCCCACGCCCCACGAGTGGGTGCCATGGGGGTGGAGCAGGGCATTGACCGCTGACCCACCTGTGTAGGTCGCTTCCGTGTGTCCTCTTGAGCTGATTTATACAGTAGAAAATATAAGTTGTGTGTTAATGTATGTGTCTATTTGCATAAATATACGTTCAGTAATTTAAAAATTCCCATTACAAACAATTTTTGTATCTGTAATTCTAAAGAGTCTGTTTTTCATCAGTGAACACAGTTACCTAAGCTTTTCTTTCTACAAGTAGGTTTCTAAAGTGTGAGGTGTCTTTGAATAACTTAGACTTTAACTGCCTTTATTTCTAATATTGTCTGGAAATTATTATGTATTGAAGAATGCAATCGGTACTGTGCACTGAACTGGAAGCTTCGTGTTCTTATAAAAAGCCCAAAATAGGAGAACTTAGTGAGCCATGCCATTGTTCCTGACTTGGCACTGTCTAAAGTGCTGGATATCAGGGTAGTTTGTGTTCTCATCAGGAAGTGTAGATAAAAGGAACTCCTAAAATGTGTTCAGACTTTTATTACAGGTGATGCTGGTTCAGAGTTTATCCTCCTGCTGCCAAATGATGAAGGCAGCACCCCTGGCCAGCAGCCTGCTTTGGTGCTATGGGGAAACTGTCTTGTTTGGTTGTGTTGTCTTAGGGTCTCTGTAGTTTTGGCTAAGATTGATTCAGTAAATCATCTAGAAAAGAAGACAAAGTCTGCAAAGAAATAATAGAGACAGGGTCTTATTCTGTTGCCCAGGCTGGAGTGCAATGGTGTCATCATACCTCACTGCAACCTTGAACTCCTTGGGGTCAAGCAATCCTCCTGCCTCAACCTCTAAGAAGCTGGGACTACAGGGAGGCACATGCTACCCTGCCTGGTTAATTCTTCTATGTTTTGTAGTGACAGGGTCTCGCTTTTGCTCAGGCTGGTCTCAGACTCCTAACCTTAAGTAATCCACCTGCCTTGGCCTCCCAAAGTGCTGGCATTACAGGCATGAGCTACTGTGCCCGGCCGACAGTGGTTTTTAGGCACAAGTATTACTCCCTATGTCACTCGCTCAGACCACTCCCATCCACAGAAGGAGCTTGAGAATGCAGCGTCCTGGGCCAGCGTGGGCAGGAGTTGGGGATTGGGGCTAACCCAGGATTCTGGCGCCATCTTGGCGTATGTGCTGGGGGGTTAGGCAGACTCAGCGGACTCTCCAGTTGGTAACGTCATTGTAGGTCTTCTCATTTCTTCTGGCCGTGGAGCTTCATAACATACTTGAGAACAGAATGAATTCTGGTATCAATGGCCTCTGGCTTGGGTAGGATTCAGAGAGAACATGTCGGGTCAGGACCAGACCAAGTTTCCTAGTGGTGTCTTTCCTTCCCCTGCTCATGAGAGGAACCGGGTTTCCATGCCTGGTTTGCATTTCATCTGCACTCCCGATTGTGTCCAGATGTTGAAAGCAGGGATCTGGTGTCTTCTGGGCAACCTACTTGTTAAGGTGGCCTTTGCACCACTCTGGGGTTTCTTGGGGGACATCTGCTCCTTGACCTTCCAGATTTTAACCATATCTTGTGATCGTTTTCATTATTCTCTGTATTTAAGATAAAAAAATGGTTTTTAGGTCACCAATTCTGAGAGACTTCCATCTCATCTTTGAATACATACTAAGCTGGAGGACATTAAGGAAAGACAGAGTGCCTGAGCGTTTGGCATCAGTGGGCCCCATTTGGTGTCCTTGGGGTGTCTGGACAGAGCAAGTGTTCCTAGCTCACTTCTCTCATGAAGTGCGAATCTATTCTCCGTGTGGAATCAAGTTCGTGTTTTAGTAGGGCTTCTTTTGGGGGGAGTTGGGGTGATTGCGCTGCACACATTCAGATTAGCATCCTCTTTCTGTGAGACTCCGAGGATGACTGAAGTGGGCATACCGGCTTATTATTGCAGAATAATCAGGAAAGCACAGAGAAGGCAGGTACCGGGTGAGCGCCACATAGCCAGCTTTAGAGATGCACAAGACAACGATCAGTCCTCAGACTGCTGGGAGGGAAGTGTGCTCGTGTATTTTATTGACTTGTTCCTATTTTCATCCCCTCCCCCCTAAGCATACATAAGCTGAGAGAGAATGTTTTCCAAGAGCATCAGACCCTTAAAGAAAAGGAACTCGAAACAGGACCAAAAGCCTCCCATGGGTATGGAGGGAAGTTTGGTGTGGAACAAGACAGAATGGATAAGGTGAGTGGACGGCGACCACCTGTGCCAGGCTCCTGGGGGCTCGGGTCCCCTGCCTGGTTGTCAGAACTGCCCCTTCGACTTCCCTTAGAGCAGCAGTTACATTTGTTAAGAACGAGACTTGCCCAGAGTAGTCCTTTGTGGATTGAACTTACTCATAAAGTGCTCCAGCTTTTTTAGAAGCTCTTTATAATTTTTCAGGAATGTTATGTAGGGAGGCCTAAAGTGGGAGATTGTACCCCAGAGGCCAGCTGTGTGATCAGAACTGAAGTCCAGAAGCAAAGTTGTGCCAATCCCCAGACCCAAATCAGATGTGTAGGCCTCTTGGTTCCCAGCATGGGGATTGTCAACCAGCAATATAGGTGACATCCTTTGTGCAGTGAGGGGCCTTCAGTGTACAGTCAGTGCCTTTGAGGCCAGGGGAGAGCAGTCACGCCATTTAAAAGCAGTGGCTGAGGCCAGGTGTGGTGGCTCATACCTATGGTCGTAACACCTTGGGGGGCTGAGACAGGAGGATTCCTTGAGGCAGGTATTGGAGGTCAGCCTGGGCAATGTAGTAAGATGATATAAGTGTAGGGGTACCCCAAAATAGCCTGGGGCTGGAGTGGGTGTGGGCCCAGAAAGCGACCAATGTTGCTGTGTCACTGGTCACTTCCACAGAGACATCCTGACACTGAGACAGGCAGTGTGCAGAGAGGAATCATCTTTGGATAATTCTAAAAAATAAAACAAACCAATGAAAAAAAGTTGGCAGGTATGGTGACTTGAACCTCTTGTCCCAACTAACTGGGAGGCTGAGATGGGTGAGTCACTTGAGCTCAAGAATCTGAGGTTGCTGTGAGCTGTCATGACGCCACTGCACTCTGGTCTGGATGACAGAGTGAGACTCTGTCTCCGAAAAGAAGGAAAAAGCAATGAGTGAGCCCCTTGTGAGGAGTCCATGGTAGGACTTGTCTGTCTGGCAGATGCTGATTGAAGTTGCTGGCTCTGCCAATACTTGTCTGCCCTGAAAGAAGGGAGTAACGGCCACTCCAGAGGGCTTAGCGGCTTCCTGTACAGAGAGACAGTGTAGACTGCACTGTGTGTGCAGCACGTGTGTGCACGTTCTTTAGTAAAGCCAGTCTTTACCTTCTGCAAACATCCTTGCTGATGTGAATTCTAAGTCTGAGCAACTTGAGATTCTCTGACCTAACAGACATCTGCCTCTCTGTGGGTAGCAGTGAGAGCATCAGCCGGTGTTGGGTTCCAGTCAGTAATTTCATGCCTCTCCCTCCCATGGATCACATTAACACTGCCCTGGGCATGGGCCCCCCTAGCTGTGCCATTGTGAGCTGCACTGCCCTCTCCCTCAGCAGAGAAGACAATATGGTAGGCCTGGGAGCACCCCAAACCACATCCCAAAATAACCGAGAACTAGAGTGGGGTACGGTCATCTGCAGGAAAGAGATGGATGTTGCTGTGTCACTGGTCACTGCCACAGAGACATCCTGACACTGAGACGGGCAGCGTGCAGGGAGGAAACTGCTTTCGACTCAAAGAGAAAGTCTGGCAGCTTTCAGGACTGCCAGTGGGCAGACAAAACTCAGGCCAGCCTCCTCTTCCTGCCTCCATGTCCTGGAACCTGAGTCTGAACATTCAGACTCTGCTGTGTACCAACACTCTGGTGCCAAGTGTGGTTTTGTCAATATAAGATCAAAGAAAACTTTGGGGATAAATTTGTTTCAGTCAAAAGCTGGAAATGTTGCCAGGCTATCACTCTGGCCATATTTTTAGAGCAGTTTTCTTACAACTTCTCTTTATAAGATGGGGGAAGTCCTCTGCAGCTGTCTCTTGCCACCCTGTAGTCTGCATTTTCTGGGGGTGGGGGATCCTGAAGGCCCAGGTGGGTAGTCTGCCCCCGAGGCCATGGCTCATGGTGCTGCCCTGGGAGCAAACATAGAAAGAGGAGAGAGGCCCCAGCTCTGGAGCTGACAAGAGAACCTGCCCTTTTCTAGGAGAGACTGGGTGCTTTGACCCCCTACTAAGCATCAGGGGGTCTTGAATGCTGCTGGGGCCTCTGTGACCCCTCATCGTGTGGTAGCCAGAACAGGTGCACAGGTGCTTAGAAAGCTATGGACACGCTGGGGCTTTTTTCCATGTCTTGCACTGTCACATGTTGTCATTGTCCTTAAAGGAGCCACTGGACCCCTCACCACTACGTGGAGGGAGGGAGCCATGAATCTGGGGCGTGGCTGAGTCCTGAGGGTGGGGCTGTAGGGCCGCTGCAGGGCCAGGCAGGGAGGGTCCTTGTGGACAACAGTGTTAGTTAAAATTGCTGAAGCACTGGGTGTGGTGGCTTACGCCTGTAATCCTAGCACTCTGGGAGGCTGAGGCCAGTGGATTGCTTGAGCTCAGGAGTTGAGACCAGCCTAAGCAAAAGCAAGACCCCGTCTCTACTAAAAATAGAAAAACTGAGGCAAGAGGATTGCTTGAGCCCAAAAGTTGGAGGTTGCTGTGAGCTATGACGCCACAGCACTCTACCCAGGGCGACAGCTTGAGATTCTGTCTCAAAAAAAAAAAAAAAAAAAAAAATTGCTGAGCCAGGTGATTGAATCAGAAAAGCAGCTGTAGCCAAACAGTATGTCAGTGAATAGATGATCATGTTCCCGAAAGCTTTCTCCACAGAATGAGCTGGCCACTGGGTCTGGCCCGAGGCCACAGTGGCTGAGCCCATGGTGGAAAGCTTGGGGGAAGCCCAGCTTCACCTTGTGGCTTTGCTGCTTGGTAGAGGTGCGACCCTGCCCTCCTCTTATGGGGGCTGACATGCTGGTGACGTTGGAATGAGCGGGTGCTGGCAGCAGCACCTGGCTCCCTGCCTGCATGGTGTGTGTGCTCAGTAGATACTGAATCTGAATCTACCTTATAACAAACATGGACGTGTGTGTTTCAGTTCGTTAGCAAAATAAGTATTTTTTGTCCTGATTCTGGGGTCATGTGGTCTGCACACATCTCACTCTGGTGGAGCGACTTTTGCCACGGTGTCCATATACATGGGTCTCATGGACTATGGGGCCAGCTGCTGGCACCGTGTCCTCCTTCACATGAGGTCAGAATACTCTGGCTCTGGGTTGCTTACCCGGAGCCCAGGGTCTAGGCCAGGCACTGAGACCCTGCAGGGCCTCTGGCAGCTCTAGGCTACAGTTCCTTCCAGGAGCCGGTCTCCTGGGCAGGCTCTGCCGAATGTGTTCCATCAAGGCTTGCACTCCCTTGCACCTCCCCAGTGGAAGTCAAGAGCCTGTTGCTATTTGGTGTATAATGCTTTATTTTTGGACCCTGTTCCAGTCAGCTGTTGGCCATGAGTACCAGTCGAAACTTTCCAAACACTGCTCGCAAGTTGACTCTGTCCGGGGATTTGGAGGCAAGTTTGGTGTCCAGATGGACAGAGTTGATCAGGTGAGATGTGGCATGGGACACACAGGCAGGAGGGGTGTGCTGGCAAGGAAAGCTGCCTCTGCACAAGCGCCCGTCCATCCTTTGGGCCATGCGCAGGGGCGCACGGGTGCACTCCGCTCCCCAGGACTACATGGGGGCCATCTGGGTGCACTGGGCGAGGAAGCAGGACAGGGGTGTGTGTGCCAGAGCAGTCACTGTGCTCACTCTTCTCTGAGCAGCCCCAGAACCGGACAGCCTTACATTTGTCCAGGAATGTGCCTGCAGAGACCAGCTCCATCAATCTTGCCCACGCACATCACTAGGACAGGGTGACAGGGTCCCTGCTATGGAGCTTGACGCATTGGTGTCCTGGGCTCAGGCTTGGCATCCAGGTGGTGCACAGGTTCTAGGCCAGAGCCTATTCTCTGATTCTCATTGGATCAGGGACATCAACCCCTTCATTTTCTGATGTAATAATCAGGATTCTGGAATGAGCCGCTGAAGGGGGGCAGACCTGGGCAGACCTCATTCTGTGTCTGGCTTTGGGGCACATGAGCTATGTTCTGAATTAAGGTGTCTGTGAACTGAGGGTGGTGAGGACACCTGCCCACAGGTGTGCGGGTGTGTGTGGTCCCATCGGCACTTGGACGCTGCCTCTGTCCTCATCACCACTGTTAGTGTGGTCCTCAACATGGCTTCCTGGCTCGGCGCCTATAGCTCACCCGGCTAGGGCGCCAGCCACGTACACCTAAGGTGGCGGGTTCAAATCCCCAGCCCGGACCCGCCAAACAACAATGATGGCTGCAACCAAAAAATAGCCGGGCGTTGTGGCGGGTGCCTGTGGTCCCAGCTATTTGGGAGGTGGAGGCAGGAGACTCGCTTGAGCCCAGGAGTTGGAGGTTGCTGTGAGCTGTAATGCCACGGCACTCTACCCAGGGGATAGCTTGAGGCTCTGTCTCAAAAAAAACAAAAAAAAACAAAAAAAAAACATGGCTTCCTGGCAATCAAGTGTATGTGTAGCATGTGGAATTATCCCAGAGTGGCGTCCTGTGGCCAGAAGGGATCAGCCAGGCACGCACTGCTGCAGTGGGCTGGGGAGGGCAGGTCACCATGGATATACCTTAGCCCACAGAGCTCCCTGGTCTTTGTGGAGCGTTTTATGGCATGTAAATTCACAGCACCAGAGCTTTTGCATTCATTTCACTTGGACTTGGCTCAGGAAACCAGAAGCCAAAAATAACATGTTTTTAAAAATTTCATATATGTCATGAATTCACAGGGATTGTTTCAGAGATGTTTAAAAATGCGTGGTCTTGTCCTTCCTTGTTTTTTGGTAACTACAGTCTGCTGTAGGCTTTGAATACCAGGGCAAGACAGAGAAGCACGCCTCCCAGAAAGGTAAGCTGTGGACAGCATGGGCGGTGGGGCCTGGATGGGAGGTTACAGTCTGCTGGAGCCTGTTTCTTGGATGGGCACAGGGAGGACTCTGCTCACTCCTTGAAGTTTCTGGGTCACCTGGAAACTGTGTGATGGGTATGCTCCCCAGAACACAGCACCTGCGGAGTCCTGGCATCCAGCATTGTGATGTCCACCCACCTTGCCGAGGAAGCTGCCTTCCCTTCATCTGGGCGGCACTGTGCCTGGCAACGTTAGCTCTCTGACTTGCTTGGCAAAAAACTAGCTTCTCTCCCAAGGATAGAATCCACAGTTGTTAATTCCCATTTATTTTCATTAAGCTCATACAGCCTTACTGTGGTGGAGATTAATTATACTAGTCCCTAAAGCCTTTTTTCAAAGATGAAAGCATATCGCTTCCTGGAAGTCTGCAGTCTTTTTTGCAAGCTTGTTTAATTCTGCCTCTTGTGTGTCCTCAGTAGCCCGGGACACAAGCTCCTGTGATGAGCAGTCCAGGTGCAGCCTGGGTGTAGGTGACTGAGGGACTGGCCAGGTGTGGGGACTTGAGTTTCTTTGTGCTCTGACCAGCACTTGAGCAGCCGACTTCCCAGGTGCACACGCAGCTCTGCGCCTGCCCGTGCCAGGCCTGCCCAGTGCTGGGGAAGGGGTCAGAGCTTTGTGCACACTGTCACTGCTCGGAGCAGTGGGTGGCTTGTGCATCTCACGGTGTACGCTGGATCTCTTCACGAGTCATAACCCCCAGACATTTTTGTTTTTCTTAGTTTAACAAAAGGGGCTCTTTGGTCACCAAACCCATGTGCTAACTGCTGCCCTATCTCTGCAGACTACTCAAGTGGCTTTGGTGGCAAATATGGCGTGCAGGCTGACCGGGTGGACAAGAGCGCCGTGGGCTTTGACTACCAGGGCAAGACTGAGAAGCACGAGTCACAGAGAGGTGTGTGTGGGCGGGGGAGGGACACTGCCCACTCTTACGTCATGTTTTTCTCCCCCATACAAGCCAGGCTATGCTGATTGTACATACGTCCTTTCCTTAAGTGATTGGGTGTCCTCTTCACAGCAGAGTCTGTGGACTTCTCCTGTCTTTAATGAATGCACAGTTCCCCCACTGTAGGAAGAGTCCACAGTCTATTTAACTGTGTGTGGAATTAAGGTTATTTCCAATTTTTTTGATGTCAAAAATTATAGTGGATATTCTTGTACCTATGCCACAACACACAAGTTGTTATTCAAAAGAACCAATTCATAGAAATGAGATTGCTGGGTCAAAGGATGGTGAAGTTAAAGTCTTGAGAGCTACTGCCAAATTGTCCTTAGAGGCTGTGCTGATTGTGGTTGGTCCCTTCACCAGGACATCCCTGCCAATAAGGGTCATGTAAAGAGCTTTTCCTGGAGCTACAGAGGTCGTGACCTATTGGTGCCCCTGCAGCATTGGTTTATTTGGTTTGTACATGTAAATTTTTAAAGATGATAGCCAACATTTGAAACCTGAGAGTTTGGCCAGGCTCAGCGGCTCATGCCTATCATCCCAGCACTTGAGAGGCCAAGATGGGTGGATTGCCTGAGCTCACAAGTTCGAGAGCAGCCTGAGCCAGAGCAAGACCCTGTCTCAAAAAAGAAGCTGGGCATTGGGTGGTGCCGGTGGCTCAGTGAGTAGGGCGCCAGCCCCATATACCGAAGGTGGTGGATTCAAACCCGGCTCCGGCCAAACTGCAACAAAAAAAAAATAGCCAGGCATTGGGGCCGGCACCTGTAGTCCCAGCTACTTGGGAGGCTGAGGCAAGATAATTGCCTAAGCCCAAGAGCTGTAGGTTGCTATGATCTATGATGCTACAGCACTCTACTGAGAGCAACAAAAGTGAGACTCTGTCTCTAAAAAAAATAAAAAATAGAAAAAAAGGCTGCTGAGACCTGAACATGTTCACTGGCTTTGTTGCTCATTTTTAAATAGCACCTCTTTTTGTTTTGTTCTCAGATTACTCCAAAGGTTTTGGTGGGAAATACGGTATTGACAAGGACAAAGTGGACAAGAGCGCCGTGGGCTTTGAGTACCAGGGCAAGACCGAGAAGCACGAGTCCCAGAAAGGTGTCTTCAGTTTTATCTTATTCTCCAGCCCGCAGCTCCTAACCTGGCAGGTGTCAGCCAAGTAGAAAAGGAAACAACCTCCAAGTAGATCTCTCTCTTTAATTAAATATTCAGCTTTAAGGTAGCAAATCCAGACACAGAGGTGTTAAGAAGTCAGGCGTTGGCGCTTCTTTTGGCCGCAGACCCCAGCAGAGATGCTCGTGGCGGTGGCCGTGGCTGCACGCCTGCTTCAGCAGTAGGGACGCGTGCCACTTCCTGGTGCCCTGGAAGTGACATGCATTGTGATTGCGGGCCCTGTCTGTGTCCGTTGACAAGACTGAGAGTAGGGGCTCATTTTTTTAGCCGCCTTGCAGGAAGTCCTCTTAATAGATGTTAACTAAAGTTTTACCGAAGATCCAGAAGGGAAAGGCTGGGCTTAGTGAATGTATGTGTTTAACTGCATTGAAACATGCTTTGCGCCTGTGACCTGGGCTCCCTGTTACTGATCTATCATGGCTTTTTATGTGCACTCAGACTATGTGAAAGGGTTTGGAGGAAAATTTGGTGTGCAGACAGACAGACAAGACAAATGTGCCCTTGGCTGGGACCACCAGGAGAAGTTACAATTGCACGAATCGCAGAAAGGTACACTCATTTGCCCGCTGTGCTGGGATTGTTGGGGAAATCGGTTTGTGTTTGTTCCTGGGTCTGTGGGTGTGTTTGTGTCTGCTTTATTGCTGTCCCAGTTCATGCTTCACTGTGTGAAGTTGTCTTGTGCCTTCCGTCTCAAACCCTTTAGCTAGTGTAGGGATGGCCCCTGCTCTCTCACACGAGAGGACTGTAGGGCCGTGCCACAGGGGACCGGGTTTCCCCGGGGTCAGGAGGCTCCTGCAGCACTCTGGAGGATGCCGTCACTTCCTGCCCACAGGTGCTCCTAGTCCTTGGTTTCTGGTTTATAAAGTGGGTTGCAGTTATAGCAGGAGACATTTCTGTCTAACTGGAAGTGTCTTCTCATCAGAGGGGGAACCCTATCCTGGGGAAAGGAGTCTAAAGGGACTGAGAACCTTTCGTTCAGTGTGGCCAGAGCTAACCCAGGGGCAGGCATGCCCATTCTCTCAGCCAGCGCAACAGGAGGTGGGCGGGGGTCTGAGGTGTCTCTAAACACAAACATAGGTGCATTCTCTCTGCAGTCTGGGCGGGACCCTAGAAGTGGACCTGGAAGCATGGAGTGGCTTTACTGAATTACTTAAAATACAGTGCTTAGCCTGTTTCCAGATCCTGGCTGACATGTTCAGATTTTAAGTTTGTTCTTAAACCTTCACTTTATGAGCCATCTTCTGACTATGAGACTGGGGGTCCAGTCCTTAAGCCCCTAAACTCAGCAGAGCTCTTGCTTTCTGGAAATGATGCATTTGATCATCGCCAGGCTCCCACAGTTCTAACCCAGCTGTGTTTCCTCTCCTGGTTGTTTCCCACTGTCGCTTGTGGCCTTGCAGATTATAAGACTGGTTTCGGAGGCAGATTCGGTGTTCAGTCCGAGAGGCAGGACTCCTCTGCCGTGGGGTTCGATTACAAGGAGAAGCTGGCCAAGCACGAGTCCCAGCAAGGCACAGTTGCCCCCAGCCTCCTCCCCTGCCCCTCGGAGTGCAGCCACTTCTAGCACAGACTTCAGGGTTCACCCTCGGAGCCTGCAGCACAGTCTTCCAAGCCGCCAGCAGTCAGCTGCAGGGGCTGTCAGGCATAGGAGTCACAGTCTGCTGTAGAGAGAGACCGACCTGAGATTTCCCCCCCTCTCTCTCATGCACCTTTTTCCCCTATGACTTTTACAGTTTGTGTTGGGTAAAATGTGGCAGTTTGCCAGTTTTGTCATTCTAACCCCATGACCTGTCCGTCTGGTCAGGGTACTTCCAGTCTGCTGTTGACCGTGGCCACTGTGGGCCATTGAGTCAGGCCTTCCTGAGATGAAGAGAGACGAGTGTGGTTCAGCCAAACCACTGACCTTCAGAGCCGAGGCTGGCAGCCGCGAGGGCCACGAGACAGGCACATTCCCTGTGGTTTCTGTGTTTCATCTGTGGTGGCGTTTTTTGGCTGGGGAGGGGGGTGTTTTATTTGTCTGGGTATGTTTGATGGCACTGTCTCCATGTAACGTCCCCACACAGAGCCACACGGTATGGATGCAAAGCTGGCCAGAGCAGTTTCCTTAGAGCAGTTGTCTCATTACCTTTAAGATTTGGCTTTGGTTATTAGCGCCTGGACACATGATGGGGAACGTAGTGACCCTCCCCTTGCAGGGCAGAGTTCAGGCTTTCCACCTGCAGTGTTAGAAGCACATGGCAGCTTTCAGGCGTGGGAAGGTAAACACACTTGGGGAGGCCCCTCAAGCTGCATGGAGGAGGCCATGGGGTCGCCGTGGCGCTCCCGCTGCATGACGGTGTGACTTTCATGTGGATCTGTGTTGCTGCAGCAGAAGCCTTTGGCTGGCAGAATTTCCACATGGATTTTTTTTTTCTTTTAAAAAGCAAGAGAACAAACTGCGATTGAGCCTCTTTTTAGTGCTCCGTAGAGCAGGAGCGCAGGAGTCATGAGAATAAGCCCGTGCTGGTGCAGAAGACTGTGCTATTGAAGTGGCGTTGCAAAGGCCTGTCCCGTGCCCTCCTTCCTCGGCTCAGTCCCCCCTGCCTGCTGCCCCACCCCCATCCCTGTGCCCCTCAGGAGAATGCCCACGCATGCCAGGGGCCTGTGCTCCGCTTCTCACCTGCCTGAGTGCTGAGGGCCGGTGTCTCGTGCAAAACTTGCCTGGAAAGTAAAGACTCAGCGCCTGGTGGTTCTCGTTTCTCTGCTCCGGGTGCACTCTGCGGGCTGTTTCTGGGTCTGTCTGCATGCACCTGCTGTCAGCCCTGGGCCTGTCCTTGACCTCAGAATAAAGGTTATGTTTTGCCACATTTCAGACTACTCCAAAGGATTTGGGGGAAAATATGGGGTGCAGAAGGATCGGATGGACAAGGTAAGTATTTCAGACCAAGGGGCTAGTATTTTCTGCCAACATGTTTGGGCATCTATGGAGCCCTGTGTATGTTAGCCTGTGGTCTCGCAGACATTCTCAGGTGGGCAGGGCTCAGGGTTCTAGAAGTGTATCCAGCGACCAGGCCACACCATCCCTGTCAATGATGGCTCACTCAGATAGCCCAGTGCCTCTGGGGGCAATGCTGAGGGATAAGTGCTCGCACTGTCCCACTCCCAGTCGGGTGTTCAAGGCTCAGGTAAACGCAGTGGGGAGTGGCTGAGCTGCCCTTGAAACCTAGATATTAATGTGAGTGCCTCAGGGGCATGTGGTCATTTTGACTTTAATTTTTCACATTAAATCAAATTGTATTTGGTCCTTTGGTCACACCGGCCACATGGCCAGAGCTTGGCAGCTGCATGTGGCCAGTAGCTGCTGTCTGAGGACAACACAGGGCTCAGCTGTTAGCATTGTTCCCAGAGGTCTGAGGGACCCCACCAGCCTGGGATCTGTCTGCTTAACCACCAGGAGACACTCCTATGAAAACATATTTTGCTTTCCCATCAGGAATTAATTTCATTTATCTTTTTACTTCTGATGGTTTTACAGCCTTGGTGAGTCAGTGTTAAGCACACAAAATGATTGTTTTTCTTATCCATGATCCAATGCTTTCAAATATTAGAATTATCTTTAGACTGTGTGTGGGGTTATCCAAATAGGCCCTGGCCACTGCAGTCGTCTGCCTCTCACATGGTAGCTGGCCCCAAAGAACTGAGCCCCACCCTGCCCACTCCCGTGCTTGGCCTCGGGTTATGGGTGGCAGGGCTGTCCTCACAGCACTTTGCTGCCATTGGACTTAATGCTGACCGTACAGACAGCATTGCCCAGGCCACTTGCTCTATGGCCAGAACTTCAGACACAGGCCCTGGCGGGTGCAGAGAAAGACAGAGAATTGGTCTGTGGCATTGGGGGGAGTGACAGCTGACTCAGGCCTTTGGGGCCATGGGGATCCGAGTCGGGACAGAGTCTGAAGAAGGGCTGAACCGCAGAATGTGGAGAGCCCTACAGACCATGGAAGGCTCTGTGCTGTGTGAAGTGATGTGAGTGGTCCGGGAGGGGTCAGTAGGCAGAACACACTATTGGGAGCCCCCTGGCCAGGGTGGAGATGGGATCCTTGGACATGGTTGTGAGGACCGAATCCTTTGGGGCCAGAGGTGCCGGGCAATAGAAGAGCAGAGCTTGGTGTTAGGATTTAAGGAGTGCAGTAGAGAGAGGAGTCAGGGCGGACACGGGGCAGCTGCTGAGGCGACACCCTGGGAACAGGGGCCGTGGTGAGTCTGCATACAGAAAGTATGTGGATGGTGGAGCAGCCGGAGAGTGTGTGCTGTGGGGAGGGGCCCAGGGCTGCACCCTCAGGATGGCAATGGAAAACTTGCTTCAAAAGGCAAGTTTTCTGGTCAGGTAGCCAGAGTAGACTGGGCAGAGAGGCCTAGGATGGATGGAGGGAAGGGCCTGACCAGTATAGGTGAGTCAGAGGTTGTGGCTTTGTGGCTGGAAGTTGAGGAGGTGTCTGTATCATGGGTGCCTGTGGTCAGCATTGATGGTAATGACAGTGACCGCTGACCTTGCCAACACATGGAAGGAAGCGTGTGAGGGGCAACTCCAGTGTTGGCGCCTTCATTTGGGAGGTTTGGTGTCCTTTCCTGTGGTCTCCTGTGCATCTGAGGAGCAAAGGCTCACCAAAGTGAGGGCACTGCCCTGGGACCCAGTGTGTCATGGGGGTGGGGCTCACACCCGCTCCATGCCATGAGGCCAACCTCCTATAGCACCCCAATGGGTGAGGCCAGCAGGTCCGGAATCACTGATCCAGTGGTCTTTCCTTTGAACGGGTATGAACAACTCAGAGGTTTAGAAGTGGCCGAAATGGACCCAGGCACCAACTGCACAGGGGGCAGGTTTGGGGAGAGGGAAGGGAACAGGGTCTGAGCAGAGGAGGCTGGGAAGTGAGTGAGCAGCTGGGCAGGCATTCCTGGTCAGGAGGAGTCAGAGGTTATGAAACTCATGCTGTGTCTGAAAATGGCCATTGGCTTCTCAGAGCCCTGCTGATCTGTGCCCGAATCAGCAGTTGCGTGGCAGACCAGACTCCCTGTTAGTGTTCAGGATGCTCGGTGGTGAGGGACTGTGGGGAAGGCTTGAGGAAAGGCACAGGCCAGTTGTGACAGCACAAGTGGGGGGATGTGTCTTTGTCCTGACGCTTACTCCTGGTCACCAGGAGGTGTGCATGGGCATGTTTTCCTGCAGGACAGAGGGGTAGAGGTGACAGTTCTGGGCTGTCTGGTTTGGTCTTTTGACAGATCTGGGGGAGGCTCCGAGCATTCGCATCAGATGGGAGCCATGGCAGGGTGTAAAGGAAAGAGAAAGTACTTTCCTGATTTCCTTTCCTGTCTCCATAGAATGCATCAACCTTTGAAGATGTTACCAAGGTGTCCCCTGCTTACCAAAAGACGGTACCTGTTGAAGCCGGTGAGTCCTAGCAGACTCCCCCAAAGTAGTGTGCAGTTTTCCCAGGAAGAAAGTCCATGCTGTGTGGTTTTTCTTAGAAAATGCTGAGGAGGAAAAGTAGAGTTGTGACACAGAACCAGGAACATTCCTGGACAGAGTGGTAGTTACTGCACATTTTGGGGGGAGAAATTAACAGTCTTTTTGATGAAGACACTCTCTCAGCTCCTGGAGGTGAAGAGGCATCTTTCAGTGGAGCCTGTGGTTGGGGGGCACTTCCCAAATCAGAGGAACTGCATTGCCATGGCAGGGTTCTGGGCACGGCTCCCTGAGCCAACTGGCCACAGCCGCCACCAGAGGAAGGTGTTAGCGTATCTGAGCACAGGGGACAGGGGTGTCCAGAGCTGCAACCAGAGGAAGGTGTTAGCGCATCTGAGCACAGGGGACAGGGGTGTCCTTTCCTCTGTTCATGGGCCCTTGACCAGGGAGCTTGAAATCTGTCCTTTGTCTGCTGGCACAAAGTAGAATGAGACGTGAGCCCTGCCCTGAAGAGAGGCTTTTAGTTGGGAAAACAGTGAACATGAAAGCAAATGCTAAATTCAAAACAGGAAGCTGAGCGCCACCGTCAGTTTGCTGTCGACACCCCGACTTAGGAGTTCTCAGGGTTTGTGAGCCCAGGACACTTTAACACTGGTGAGAATTAGTGAGGACCTGGCTCGGCGCCTGTGGCTCAAATGGCTAAGGCGCCAGTCACATATGCCTAAGGTGGTGGGTTCGAATCCAGCCCGGGTCCGCCAAACAACAATGAAGGCTGCAGCCAAAAAATAGCTGGGTGTTGTGGTGAGTGCCTGTGGTCCCAGCTACTTGGGAGGCTGAGGCAGGAGACTCTCCTGAGCCCAGGAGTTAGAGGTTGCTGTGAGCTGTGATGCCACGGTACTCTACCCAGGGGAACAGCTTGAGGTTCTGTCTCAAAAAATAAAAGAGAGAGAGAGAATTAGTGAGGACCTGAGACCTTTGGTTGGTGTCTGTTGTGTTTGTTGATACCTACTGTTCTAGAAGTTGGAGGGAAGTTTTAAAATAATTTATTTAAAAATAATAAGACCATTACATATGTACACATGACACTTAATGAAAAATGACATTTTTCAAAATAAAACTTAGAACTGCGTAGCATTTTTACCTTTTTATGAATCTTTAACAGAAGATGGCTGAATTTTCATATCTGCTGCTTCTTTTAGTCTGTTACCGTAAAGTTATGTGGTTGATAAGAAAGCCCAGACACACCCAGATGGGGGTCAGGAAAGGAGGTGCACGCACGCCCTGGGCTGTTTCCTCTCGGTCTCTGAGAGACTCGCTGACCCCACCGGACTGTTGGACACTTGGGGAGTTCTGGATGCTCATCCTCCAAATGTTGGCGCTTTCATATTATAATACCAGAGACAGCTGTGTCTATTTTCATTGTCAACCTCATCAGCTGGTGAAAATCATCAGGCTCATGGTGACAGTGACGAATTTTCCAAAATTTTTTCTTTGCTTGGAGGCTGGACTTTTCCCATCGGCAAATACTGCAGTAACTGTTCGTGTAGTGATGGGCTCAGTTTGTTTATTTGCGAGAAAATTGTCTGCCAGATGCCTGGGTCTGCATAGCCACGTGGGGACGGATGCCCCATGGACTCAGTGCGGCTCAGTCACAGGTATCGTCCCTCAAGGCCGCCTTCAAGTTCCCCTGCAGAGCAGTAGCAGCCTGGGTGTCTTTCCCATTTTTGTCATGTAAAATATCAAAAAATATATGATCAAGGGTTGAAACTTTTCTTAAAATCAATACCTTTTTTACTGCTTATAAGAGACAGACATCTTTAAGTGAAATTGGCTGGTTTTTAAAAAAAATTACAAGTGAGTGGTGATAGAGAAGATGATGATGTCTAGTTTAAAAATCTTCCAGGCCAGGTGCGGTGGCTCACGTCTGTAATAGCAGCACTCTGGGGGGCCGAGGTGGGAGGATCCATTGAACTCAGGGCTTTGAGACCAGCCTGAGCAACAGCAAGACCCCAACTCTGCTAAAAGTAGAAAAACTAGCTGGGTGTTGTGGTGGGCCCCTGTGGTACCGACTTCTCAGGAGGCTGAGGCATGAAGATCGCTTGAGTCCAGGAGTTAGCGGTTGCTGTGAGCTATGATGATGCCATGGGACTCTAGCCTGGGCAACAGAAAGAGACTATGTCTCCAAAAAAATTAAAATAAATAGATAAATTTTCTAGATCCAAGCCTTGTAATAACGCCAGCCCACTGCAGTGGGCACACAGGGCTGACTCTGAGTGGCTGGGCTGAGCAGTAGCTGGGAGGCCCTTTCCCTTCTCTGGGAGGACTGGAGAGGGTTCTGGGTGTTCTGAGGCCAGATCTCTTCTGTCTTTCCACTGCAGTGGCCAGTAAAACAAGTAACATCAGAGCTAACTTTGAAAACCTCGCTAAGGAGAAGGAACTGGAGGACAGGCGGAAGGCAGAAGCTGAGCGAGCCCAGCGGATGGCTAAGGAGAGGCAGGAGCAGGAAGAGGCCCGCAGGAAGCTGGAGGTGAGCCGGGAGGCGCTGGCTGTGGGCTGTGGCCACATGTGTTCTTTCCTTGGCAAGTGTTTTCCTGGGAGAGCATGTTTATCTTTATCTCACACTTGAGGCTCTCCAGTTTGGAGCTTCACATACGGTCTCCAGTCGTGAGGTCCTGGGCCGGCCTCGCTAGTTCAGGCCCTGTGCCCCACCAGCAACGGGGGGTGGGGGTGGGGGGCACACCGTGAAGAAGCAGCTCTGCTCTCCTGTGTTGCCTGCTGCCGACCAGCCTGCTCCACTGCCACTTGCTTCTTAGTCCATTTTTTCACTAGAGGAAGTAGAAGTGGGGGCTGTGGGAAGTGGGCAGCAGGCGAGGGCTCTCTCTCCTGAAGCTTCTCTGGGTGGCCAGGCGTCCGGGCCCTCCAGCCCCCACTTACCCACCTGCCGCCTGGGCACCTGTGGTGTGGCGTCGGCCCACTTTTCCACGGTGCCATGTTCCCTCTGTGAGGCAGGTGAAGATCCCGAACCCCCTGCAGGGTAGCTCGGGGTAGAGTCTAAAATCATGCACAGAGCTGGTCCATGCAGAACCGTGGTGGTTCCTCCCAAAGTCAGTCCCTGGGGTTCTGAAAGCCACCACTGTGGGAGAAGGTCTGGCTGAGAAAATTAGTGTGCATCAAGTGGAGACGCTGCGGGCAGAGACACTGACAGGCCCCGGGATGGTTGCGAGCTGTGTGCAGGCATGACAGTGAATTCCTAGGGTTGCCATTTACATTGGGGTCTCTCTCTGTCACAGTTTCTAGCAAGAGGCTGATGTGTTAGTTTTTCTTTGTTGCAGAACAGATAGACACAAGGCATCCCTCGCCTGGTATGTCATCTCTTCAGTAATTCATGCTCTCATTTTGTGACTGGAAATTTTGATACCTGCCATGCCTTTGGCATGAAGGTGTAAGGTGGGGAAGAAAAAGGCCTTGGGTGGCTCCCTTGTAAGGCTCCCTGCTGCCCAGTGGTCAGTTCTCCCCTCCCTGCGTTTATCAGCTTCTCCCTGTATGTACCAAAGCCCCAGGCCCCTTCGCTTGTAGAGAAGTGCCCCAGAAGGTTACCTGAGCACCGAGTGACAGGTGGGGACGCTGGCACACCACCACCCGTGCATCTTCGTGTCCGCAGCAGGTTTGAGTAGGGCTCTGAATGGAGCCGGTGGCCTACAGCTGTGTTGGTGAAGTTGCCAATGGCATTCGGCAGCTGGGGCCTGTGTATTGTGGCTTGCAGGCCTGAGGCCCAGCGCCCGTGTGTTTCCTGCCCCTCAGGTGCACACAGGACACACGGACACTGGACATTCCTACTGAGGTGGGGATTGATGACAGGGCTGGTGTGGAGGTCGAGAAGGGGGCTCTGGTCCTGGGCAGTGTTCTTTTTAATAAGGCTGGAGGGTACTGTGGCCTTTGCTATTGCAGAGGGCCAGCCTGTGGTGGGAAGGGAGGGGAGTGTCCACAGTGGACAGACAGGGTTCAGATCCTGCTTCTGCCACCCCTGGACACTTCACCTCTTGTGGGCCTCAGCAGCTTAAAACCACACCCATGTAGTATGTCATAATCTGGAGGTCAGAAGTCCTGTGTTCGTCTTGGGGGCTCTCGTGGCCCCTGATTTCCCAGCACATCTGCCCTACCTCTCACCCTCCTCCCTCTTACCAGGACCCAGGCAGTCCAGAAGTATCCCCGTCTCACAGTCCTTAACTTTATCCCATCCGCAGTCCCCTTGGCCTTGTAGGCCACATGTTCACAGCGTCCGCAGCTGTGGGGCCCAATTCATTCTACCTACTGCAGTCACCCCCTGTGGTGGCCCCCAGAGTCATGCTCACCCCATATGTAGAACATGCTCTCCTTGTTTTAAGGTCATAAACTTCTTAGCCTGTGACAGCAGCACCTCGGAGGCCCAGAAGTGTGTCACCTCCACTGTGCAGACCAGGTGCAGATGGGCACAGTGTCACTCTCAGTGCCACCTTCCCAGCTGTACCCTGCTACCATCCTACAGGCTGTATGGTGGCAGCAGGAGCCCTGTGGGGCATCACAGCCCCCTTCTTGGGGCGGGTGACTGACCTCCCCTCAGAGCGCATCTGCCCTGCTCTTCAGGTCACATGGATAGAGATGCCCCGCTTGTCTGTGTCGCTGCTCCTGCACCTAGAAGGCGCCTGCGGCCAGAACACAGCACAGGACTATGGTGGGGCAGATGGGACACTACAGAGGGGTGTGGACGCTCTGACTGCTGTTTGCTTTCAATCCTAGGAGGAAGCCAGAGCCAAGACACAAGCCCCTACTGTGTCCCCCACCCCACAGCCTGCTGCAGAGAGGCGGTCGCCCAGCCCTGTCTATGAGGTTGGTGTCTTCCTTGGTCTCAGTAAGTCTCCAACCTGCCACCAGAGACCAGCTGTCCTTGATGTGGCGGGAGAAGCCCTTCCTCAGCCATGCAGATGGATAGATGAGGGGGCCTCACTGCTCTGCTCTGTCTCTCCAGGGTGGAGACTCCTCCGTGTTGTCACGTGTTAGTCTTTCAGGCCCGTGTGCCATCCTTTCCCCTCCATGTCCCTGGAGCAAGGCATCCCTCCAGCCCTCACACATTGCCACCTGGTCAGAGTTAGTCTTCCTCTCACTGTTAGACTTCCTGTCACATCCTCTCTGCATTGGATGCTAACTGTGTTCCCTTCTGGAAATCCCGTCCCCATTGGCACTAAGGTGCTGCCACCCCCTCAGTGAGCGTTTTCCAGGCCCCTGCCCTTCCCTCGGTGGTGGTGGTCAGTGACCCACCACCTGTGCCCCCAGCTGTCGTTCTTCATTCCACAGTCACTGAACTGCCTGTGTGATGTCTCAGATCCCCCAGGCTCTGAGTCCCCCTCTCCCCAGGAGCAGCTGTACCCATGACCACCCGTGACCATGTCCAGCCCCTGTCCCTCTTCCTCCTCCTGCCCCACGGCCACTGTCCTGGTCCACATAGTTGTGTTTCCTCATATGGAAGTCAGTGATTTGCAAGGGTCACAAGCTCAAGTCCTGAGGTGGCTCACTAGAGTGGGCCTGGGTCTCAGTGGGGCTGTGTCCTCACCCCCTCCCCAGGGAGGGTCCTCTCCTCAGCTCTTGCTGCTGTGCCCTCACCCCCTCCCCAGGGAAGGTCCTCTCCTCGGTTCCCACTGCTGTGCCCTCCACCTGTCACTTCATCCTGACAGATGCTAGGCAGATGTGGCTGTGGCTTCTCACTTGTAGCTTGTTACTTAATGATAAGAGGCCTTGTGTTGTCTCTTCTCTGCCATGTGCCCTGTCTGGCCAATACTGAGAAGCTAGTCCTTTGGTGAGCAGGCTGGTAACGTGCAGTCCTTGGGCGGGTAAGGAGAGCTCATGTGATGGGGACACCGATGGAGACCAAGGCACTGCCGGGCAGCCCAGCCTGGGCCACAGCACTAACCTGGCATCCAGCCCTTTGTCTCCCCTCTGCCATGAGGGTGTTCTCACCCAAAGGAAGCCCCAAGCCTGTTGCTGCCTGCCCTGGGGGCGGGGCTGCCTCCCTGGTCTCCCAGCGGCTCTCCCTGCCTGGTTACACTATAGACAGCCAGCTGTAGCCCACCTCTCGCTGGGGCCCTGTGTGTGCTGCTCTTGGCTGCTGACTGTGCTTCCTCTAACCCTTGAGGGTCCTTGGCCCCTGGTGGCAGGCCCTGACAGTAGCCCTGTGGGTGGTCAGCAACTAGGTTGGGATGTTCTCAGACTCAGACGTCACCATGGTATAGAAGGAGGGGTTTGTTTCCAAAGTGCCTTTGTGCCTAAGGTTGAGTCTTTGCACAGAGGGTTTGGTTGAAACAGAGCCCTATCTGCTCAGGCAGGGCTGGGTGACTTGGGCAAGCTCCTCTCCGGTGGCGTGGAAAGGCTGGGTACCTTGCAAGGCCTCAGGGATGTGAAAAAAGAAAGCACCAGATCAAACCCAGGAAAGACTGTTGCCTATAGGCAAGAGCCCAGGAGAGTATGCGGCCCCTATTAGGCGGTGTGGGCTTGTGGTTACTTCAGGACAGGAGGGTTGGGGTTTTGAGAGGCCTGGGTCCTACAGGAGGAGGCAGCACATGGAACTGTGAACACTCGTGTCCATCTTGACAGGTCCCGTGGGCTGGGTCTCCTGATGCCATGTCTATTTCCTCCATCCTCTCTGGGGCTAAGGAAGAAATTGTGTGCTCCTGTGGGCTGGGGTGGCATGGCTGCTGCTTTGTAGAAGCAGGCCTCATGAGCTGTCTTTCTGCCCCTGCTTAGGACGCAGCTCCATTCCAAGTGGAACCAAGCTACGGAGGCCCCATGCATGCGAGCGAGCTGGAGCCTGCCTATAGCGTGGAAGCTACTGACTACCAAGAGGCTGGCAGCCAGCAGGGCCTGGCCTATGCCCCTGAGGCCGTTTACGAAAGTCCAGAAGTCCCAGGCCACTATCCAGCAGGTACAGGAGGATCCCTTCCTGGGGATGGGGAGCTCCCTCATTCAGCTCTCAGACATTCTGTTCTGTCTCTGTGTGCCCTGTGAAGAGGGTCCTGGTGTCCCCATTTGCTCTCCTGCCCCACCTTTGCTATCTCCACAGTTCCTCTGCCCCTGCCTGGGGCAGACTGGGGCACACCTGGTCTTCAGTGGGGTGGCAGCTCCTGTCCTGGGGTCCTGAGAAGGGACGGACTTCTGCTGCTCTCGTGAGCAGTGGACAGAGGAGAGTCTGGTGCAGGGAGCCAGAGTGTCTAGGGCAGAGGTCTTCCATGTACTTTGAAGATGCTGTAGATATTCCAATTAGATAGGTCCTAAAATTGGTCTCATTTTATTTGTAAAAATGAGGTTTCTTTTAATATATTTACACAGGCTTAATGTAAGCGCCATGCCCCACTTGGAGTGCTGTTAAAATAGGTAGCAGAGCGGGTTAACTGCTCCGGAGAGTGTACATCAGGGCCCGTCTGCCGCCTCCCTCAGTGTGACGAGGAGTGTCACCTCTTCCCCATCACTGTTCATGACACAGGACCTTTCTAACAGTGCTTAGTTCTCAGTCTGTAGGAGTTAGGGTAAGGTCGTCAAGCTCACTGGGGAACGTTGCTCTCAAAGCTGGAGACCTTTACCTCTGTCCTTAGCAGGTGCTTCACACCCCACAGTCTAGCACCTTCCAGATGAGAGGTCGGCCCACCCTGACCAGCTCCCACCCAGACCCTTAGCAAGTGCTGTCTGTGGGAAGATTAAAGTGGGTAGGTGCGCTGATGGGCTCAGGTGTCACTCAGGCCTGCCTTGATTTGCTTCCAGAGGAGACGACCTACGACGACTACGAGAACGACCTGGGGATCACGGCCATCGCGCTTTACGACTACCAGGCTGGTGAGGCGAGGCGTGCACAGGGCGGGGCCGTCCTCTAGGGTCTCCTCTCCTAAGAGTCCACTCTTGCCAGGCATGCTGGCTCATGCCTATAATCCCAGCACTGTGGGAGCCTGAAGAGGGAGAATTGCTTGAGCTCAGGAGTTTGCGACTTGCCTGAGCAAGAGTGAGACCCCAACTGCTAAAAAAATGAAAAAAACCCAGCCAGGTGCCAAGGCGAGCACCTGTAATCCGAGTGGCTTTCTGGAGGCTGAGGCTGAGGATGCCCACGGCCTAAGTCTGAGGTTGCATTGAGCTTTGACGCCATTGCACTCTGCTCAGGGCATAGGGTGGGACTCTAAACAACAACAGCAACAAAAAAAGAGTCTGCTTTCTATAAACAGTCTTGAAACCGTTTCAACAAATTGTTTCTAAAAATCATAGTAACATTACTATTACCAAAATTAGAAACAATTTGTTGAAACAGTTTCAAGACTGTTTATAGAAAAGTGGCAAGTGCAGGGCCAAGCATGCCCCTCTCCCTGCACACGTGCACCCCATCATCTTTAGTCTTTCTCTAAACCCTCCAGTCTCCGGCCTGTGCTTTCGGAGACCAAGGGCACCGCTCTCAAGAGCCCACTCCACCCTCCCAGTGAGGGGCCAACCCAGGTGCCCACGTTCACACTTAACGTTCCCATCTGTCCCTGTTGCCTTGTCCCCACCAGTCAGTCCCCTCCTCCTGCCCCTTGAGAACTTGCCAGTTTGGAAGAGGCGGTCTCATCTCCTGGGCTGGGGCCACACTCTGGCAGGAGGGCCATGGACACTGTGGTTCTCCTTCACCTCATGTGGGCTTCACGGCATGTGACCCACAGTTACCCTGCCCGTTAGTGATGAGCGTCTTGTGGGTGATGTGGGATCCCCCAGCATTCTGCTTTCCTCCCCTGCTCCCCGGGCCACCTCCAAGGGTGTGCTTCCCACTGCTGTCCCTCCTAAATACAGCGCTCTCACTCAAGGAAGAGCTTTCCCTTCCCATCTGAATCCCTTTTCATATGCTCCCCTGCCTACCTGTCACCTGGTGCTTCTCACTAGGTGGCTGCTTTTCATATTTATAAGAACCCTCTCTTTTGGGTGCAGTAGCCCATCCATGTAATCTAAGCACTTTGGGAGGCTGAGGCAGGAGGATTGCTTGAGGCCAGGAATTTGAGACCGGTCTGGAAGACACACTGAGACCCTGTATCTACAAGAAACAAAAAAGCGTGGTGGCGCATGCCTGCAGTCCTCCTTGGGAGGCTGAGATGGCAGGATCACTTGAACCTAGGAGTTTTGAGGCTGCATTGAGCTATGACGATGCCACAGTACTCCAGCCTGGGCAACAGAGTGAGACCCTGTCTCTAAAAAAGCCTCTCTAGCTGTTCCTGCACCACCACCTCTCACACACCCCATGTTGTCCCTGGGAGTGATAGGCAGCTGCGTCCTTTCTCCTCCAAGGATGGATCTGCCAGGAAGGGAAAGTGGGAAGGGAGCAGAGCTGCCAAGATTAAAGTGGCTCATGAAGAAATGCGGGTTGGTGGTATGTTAGGTGGGCTCTGCTGAATCTCTAACTGCTTTGAGCCCGTTTGCAAAGCCGGATGCAGTGGCCTGGCACAGAGTCAGACGCGGGCAGAGGCGGCCCCTCACAGCGGCTGCTGGGGGGCTTGCTCCTGGCCGTGCTGCTTGGCGGGCAGACCAGGGACGTTTTCATTTCAGCATCTTTTCTATGCCCTTTTCTCCCAGCGGGCGATGACGAAATCTCATTTGACCCTGACGACATCATCACCAACATTGAGATGATTGATGACGGCTGGTGGCGCGGGGTGTGCAAGGGCAGGTACGGGCTCTTCCCCGCCAACTATGTGGAGCTGCGGCAGTAGGGAGGCTGCGCCACGGGTCTCACACTACACATCAGGCCTTGGCTGGTTCTTGGGTTTTGGTTGATTTTTCTTTTTTGTTTGTTTTATTTTTTGATGTTGGGGAGGGGAGTATACATATTGCTTTTATATTTAAACTTTTGCTGATGCTTTTGAAAATGTTTATGCCACAAAATTTGCTAATATATTGTAATCATGTTCCTGAGGAGGACTTTGGTAATTGTTTTTATGCATTTATGGTATTTTGTTTTTTTGCCAAATTGACTGTCACATGCAGCCACTTCAGGGACTCTTGAGATCTTTAGCTCTTTTGAGGTCAGTAATGCATGTCCTCATGGGCACCTGCCATTCCCCAGGACAAACGAGCTCTTCCGGGTCACATCTGCCGCTGTCAGGCAAGATGACTGTCCTGGTGGAAGGGAGGGCAGGGCCTGTGGACATCAGAAGAGGAGGAAGGCCCCTCCCGGGTCGTACTGTGGCAGCCCAGAGTGCTGATGGCTTTAGCAAGGGTCCCACCTGGGCTAGTTCTTGTATCTGCCCCTCCCCCCCACGCCCACCTCCCCAGGAGGGCTGCAGGGGGCCGTGCCCCCCCACCCCGCCTCCCAGTGGGACTGAGTCTTCAGACATTCCCCTCCCTTGGCCATCTCCTGACCACAGCCCACGGTGACAGTCTCCAGGGCCTTACTGAAGAGGTTGAGGCTCGTGTTGGGCATGGCTTGCCAGCACGAGGCTCACGTCTTGACTGTGATTTGGACAGTCTTGGCCCCTGCGTGTCTGTTGTGTGGCAAACCAGCCACGTCGCTGTGGGGAGGCTGGTGCCTTCTCTATTGTAAACTGCCAGAAACTTTCTTCCTTTCAAGGGAGTTGTGCTATTTTTGCCAAAATTTGTTCAATGACTGTGAAAGTTGACCAATTGACGGCTAAAAATAAGAGAAGTACAAATGAGCAAGTGTTCCTACCAGGGTGCCCTTGGCAGTTCTGAACACTGCTGTCCCCAGGCACTGCGGTGACTTGCTGCCAGGGAAACGTATCACCCTCCCAAGAAACCAGGGGGCTGGACCAATCCAGTCATGCGCACATCAGGTGGACAGCGTATCTTTCCAGAAGGTCACGTGGAAATGTCTCAGATGTCTGGGACATTTAATGGTCGTAATGCACCCGTTTTGTTTCCTGAAGTGCATTTCTGCATAATCCTTGCTTTACCACAAGATTAGGTCAGGTTTTATATGCAACTTATTGTATCTGAATTCCTGTAGCACACCTCATAGGTATGATTTTTTTTTTAATTAAATGCTCAGAATAAACTTTTTTTTGACCCACTTGCTGTGTGGTTTGCTTTGGTCTCTGGGTGCTCCATTACGCAGGGGAAGGTGCTGTGCAGGGCAGAGCCCCACTAACCCTGCTTAGCCCTGCACCGACCACCTACAGACTCTCAGAAAGACACACGCTCCTTCAGCCACATTTTATAGGATAAAGATTCCAAGCAGAATAGGAAATTCCGTGCTTAAAAATCTTTTCTGGGCAGCAGCTGTAGCTCAGTGGGTAGGGCACCAGCCACATATACTGAGGCAGGGGGCTTCAAACCCCACCTGGGCTTGCTAATCAACAATGGCAATTGTATACAAAAAAAAAAAAAAGTAGCTAGGGCATTGTGGTTGGCAACAACCTGCAGTCCCAGCTACTGGGGAGGCTGAGGCAAGAGAATTGCTTAAGCCCAAGAGCTTGAGGTTGCTGTGAGCTGTGACTCCACAGCACTATACTGAGGGTGACAGAGTGAGACTGTGTCTCAAAAAAAAAAAAGAAAAATTGTTTCTGAATTACAGTTCCACCCTAAATCCCTGGCTAGTTGCCATGTAGCTAAAGGCCTTATTTCTTTAGAGCAGCAGTTCTCAACCTGTGGGTCGCGACCCCTTTGTAACAATGAAAATACATTGCAGCCTTAGGACGATTGAGAACCACTGCTTTAGAGGCACAGGTTGAAGTCTGAAGAGATGAGTGGTGCTGGCAAGGAAGCAGCGGGAGGCCAGCGTCCGTGACACAGGTCTAGATCCTGGGAGCCCCGGGGTGGAGCAGAGTGGCCTTGTGTATCCACCACCAGGCTGGACTTGGCTCCGTGGTCCCATGGCAGCATATGTGGCTGTTCTCGTGGGCAGCTCACACGGCCAGAACGAGAGGGCTTTGAAAGCTCAGGGAAACCACTGTCACCATCCCTGGCAGAAATGGGAGAGCCGAGCAAACTGTGGACATTGCAAAGGAGCACGTTCTTCCTGTTACAGGAAGTGGGTGGCACCCACGGATGCCTTAAAGGGATGGGAGGGACGGGCCCAGGACCCCGGGTCCCAGGTCTGGCTCCTTTTCTTCCTGAGTCTTGTCAGGTCTCCTTCAATACTCTGCAGGGCTGCATCCTCTGGTGCTCAGGAGCCCAGGATCCTGTGCTGGTAGTTGCTGTCTTTCTGTTCTCTGGGGTCCCTGGTGGCCTCCAGGTGAGCCTGGTGCTAGGGCACCTCCCAGCCCCCTGAGCAGCTGGAGTTTGGCCTGTGCTTTCAGCATCCTGAAGCGTGGAGGACAGAAGGTGGGCGGATTTCCTCTGCCAATGGCCAGATGTGGAACATGATTGTGGTTCGTTTAGGGAGCAGTGATCTCCAAGGAGCGCTGGTGTTGCTGCTGGCCACTTCAGGCAACTCCGAGTGTGTGCAGAAGGGACAGTGCCTTGTTCAGGCCACCTGGAAGATCTGCCTGCTAAGCCTTCAGCCCAAGATATCCAGAGAGGTGCTGACATGGTTTTATCTAAGCCAGGGTCTCAACTTTCCTAATGCCGCGACCCTTTAATACAGTGCCTGTGGGTTGCGACAAGCACCCGTGCTAGGTGCTGGGCCTAGGGTCAAACTTGAAGTGGAATAGGAGCTCAGCCCCGAGGGAGGCAAAACAGGAAGCACGTGATTCCCCCATCGTGTTCAATTCCCACCCTGGAGACCAGGGAGAGCTGAGAAAACGTCTGGGCTCTACCAGGAGTGGAGCTGAAAGGAAAAGCCTCTCCCATCATTCCGTCCTGCAGACGGTCCCCTGGAAGCGGGTGTGGTTTTTGATGCTTACACTGCTTTGATCTCCAGCTTCGATTTCCTCATCTGAAAACAATAAAATAACCTCTCTAGTTAGGCGCTTACAGGAGCTGTTCTGCCAACTTGTCGTTTGGGATTTATTACCAGGATACACGTTAAAAATCCCATAGAACAAACTGAACGTGTTTAACAATATGTTTCAATAATTTGTGTTATTTTGTCTGAAACTTTAAGATGCCCTCATCTTTTCATCATCTTTTCTTCCAGTGTTCCCTTTGGTTTCTTCTGACCCGTTCGTCCTCCCCTGGGAATTCACACAAATGTTCCTGGGAAGGAACAAACTCCGCAGGGTGAAGGAGAGGATCCTTTGGTTCGTCCCCGCCAGTGTTTATCCAGTTAGCCATGAGGTCGTTTCCTAGCTCAGTGTCATTCACGAGCTGTGTGATTTCTTACTAGCACAAGCTACATCTAGATTTAGTGTTAATATTTTCTTTGTTAATTAAATCTGCTGCTGCTAAATAATGAAATACAGTTTTTTCCTCGGTATATAGGGAATATTGGCCCCAGGACTGCCCCCCCATGCCCAAATCTTTGCATATACAAAATGTTGGCCCCCTGTATACATGGGTTATGCAATTTGCAAGTACTGTATTTTTTGATCCTTGTTTGGCTGAAAAAAGGGTTCATTGAAGTGGGCCTATGCACTCGCACAAATCCAGGTTGGTCAAAGGCCAGTCACCCACTTCCCAAGTGGGGCGTGCAAGTGAGATGCTGAGTCTCTGTGAGCCTCCCTGAGTCCTAATCTCCAGAACCTGTGAAGTGGCAGAGGCCGGGTATGGTGGCTCCCGCCTGTGATCCTACCACTCTGGGAGGCTGAGGTGGGTGGATTGCTTGAGCTCAGGAGTTTGAGACCAGCCTGAACAAGAGTGAGAACCCGTTCCTACAAAAAATAGAAAAATTAGCCAGGCATTGTGGCACATGCCTATAGTCACAGCTCTCTGGAGGCTGAGGCAAGAGGATTGCTCAAGCCCAGGAGTTTGAGGCTGCTGCATTCTACCCAGGGCAACAGAGTAAGACTCAGAAAAAAAGATTAAGTAGCAGATGAAGTTAAGGTTGCTGGTCAGCTGACTTTGTCAAAACAGGGCGGTTACCTTTTCAGCAAATGGTGCTAGGGTAACTGGTGTCCACATACAGAGGAATGAAGTTCACCCCTGACATTTGCCATACCGAAAAACAAATCAAGTTTTATAACTCTATAAACTTAGAAGAAAACAGGGAAAGTTTCTTGACATTGAATTTGGCGGTTATTTCTTAGATATGAACCCCAAAGCACAGACAAGAAAAATAAAAGTAGTTCAACTGGACTCCCTCAAAATGGAAACTTGTGAGCATGAAGGGCACAGTGAACAGTGGAGAGTAACCTACAGAATGGGAGCAGGTGTCGGCAAATTATGTCTCGGATACGGGATTAATGTCCAGGATATCTGCAGAACTACAACTCCGCAACGGAACCAAGTAACTCAAAAGTGAGCAAGGACTTGAGTGGACATTTCACTGAAGAAGCTGTGCACAGGGACAGTGACCAGGTGAGAGGGACTCCACGTCGCTCGTCCTTAGGGAAAGGCAGGTGAGAGAGACGAACAGCCAGAGGGGGATGATAGCAGGACAAAATCCCCACGGAGGTGACAGCTCCAGTCTGTTAGGAGGGCTACTATGAAGCCAGCAATACAACGGTAGCTAATGAGGATGCCGATAAATTGCAACCCTCACGCACTGCTGGGAGTGCAAAGTGGCGCAGTTACTGTGGGAAACAGGATGACAATTATGTCTTATAAAATAGAGTTGTGATGTGGTCCAGTAATGCCACTTCTGGATACATACCCCAAATAATTAAAAACAAGGTCTCAAAGACATCTGTACACCCGTTCTCATAACAGCATTATTCTCAGTGGTATAGAGGTGGAAGTAGCCCCCCGTCTGTGGGTGAAGGATAAGCGCAGTGTGGCACGTGCCGGGTGGAGGATAAATGCAGTGTGATACATACGTGGACAGTGGGCTGCAATTCACAGCCTCTGCGCTCACCCAGGCTGGGGGCAGTGGCATCATCACAGCTCACAGATAATCCCAAACTCCTGGGCTCAAGAGGGGCTCCTGCCTTAGCCTCCTGAGTAACCGGGATTACAGGTGTGTGCCATCACATAAACCCAGCTATTTTTTTTCTACCTTTTTTTTGAGACAGTCTCACTATGTTGCCCTCAGTAGAGTGCTGTGGCATCACAGCTCATAGCAACCTCAAACTCTGGGGCTTAAGCAATTATCTTGCCTCAGCCTCCCAAGTAGCTGGGACTACAAGCCACAACACCCAGGTATTTTTGTTGTTGTTGTAGTTGTCATTGTTGTTTAGCAGGCCCTGGTGGGTTCGAATCCACAAGCCCAGGTACACATGATCAGCTCCCTAACCACTGAGCAACAGGCACTGAGCCAATTTTTTTCTGCTTTTTGCATGCTGAGTACTTTTTTTTTTTTTTGGTCGAGGCTGGGTTTGAACTCACCACCTCTGGCGTATGGGGTTGGTGCCCTACTCCTTTGAGCCACAGGCGCCACCCTTTTTCTGCTTTTTGTAGAAAAATCTTGAAAGCTGGTCTTGCACTTGGGGCCTCAAGTGATCCTCCCACCTCAGCCCCACAGAGAGCTGGGAGCCACGACACCTGATCTGATTCAGCCTGAAAAGGAAGGAAATGGTGACCCAGGCTACGAGTTAGATGAACGTTGAGGATATTATGCTGAGTTAAAAGTCAGTCACAGAAAGACAAGTCCTGTATGAGTCCATTGTAGCGTGCCGGGCTCAGGATGGGGGTGGGAGTTAGTGTTTGATGGTGATGGAGCTTCAGCTGGGGACAATGTCTCAGTCCTCTCATGGTGCTATAAAGCATCAGTTCTCAACCTGTGGATCACACCCCACAGAAATGGTATTAAAGGGCCACGGCATTAGGAAGGTTGAGAACCGCTGCTATTAAGGAATACACGAGGTGGGCTATTTATGAAGAAGGGGGCTGACGTGCTGGGGGCCCATTGTGAGAAGGAAGGCAAGGGGAGGCAGGCTGCTTAGCCACCAACTCTCCTGGGAACTTAATGGGCAGCACTCTGCAGCCCCACTCCCAGGGCATTCATTATTCAGGGAGGACTGGGACCTGCCCCAGTGATCCAAACACCTCTCATGAGGCCCCACCTTCAACACTGGGGGGCGGAGTTCAGCATGA